AGCATGAGATCGACAACTCAAGCATTCGTGAGATGGACTTTCAGTCTCGCGCATCGATGGATAGGCCGAAAAATCGTCTTCATCGTTAGACCAATGATCATATCCAGCATCGATGCCATCGTCACTCGCATTATCCAGTTCGGATCTCCGCAACTCTTGCCGCTTCAGACTTTTTAATTCCTTATCGAGTCTCTCCTTCGTTTCCGTCAATTCAGCGTTTTCCTGCTCCAGCTCGGCCAGAAGGTTCTCCTTGAAGAGCAGGCTCTTCTTGCAAGTGCGTAGCTCATGCCTGTAATGCGGTAGGCAGGGCTCTAACTACCCGACAAGGAAAATCCCGAAGAATGCCAAAATGTTCCACCTCATCGGAAAGTTCCCGTACGGGGGAGGGCACCTATAAGGAACATTCCGCATGGGGAGCCCCGCTCATTGACAAGGAAACTTCCCGCATGTGGGGGATATCCTGTATGAGGAACCTCGCGCACAAGGAAATTTCCGTACAAGGCCGAGATTCCCTATACGGGGAGTTCCCTATAGGCGGGGTTCCTCATAGGGCACGTTCTCTATGGGCAAGGTTCCTTATACGGTAAGTCACCAATGGACGAGATTCCTTATCTGAAAAGCTTTCTGTACATGGAGTCCCTTGTACAGGGAATCCCACATACGAGGCGTTCCTTGCAGTCGGAATTTCAGATGCAGTCCGACATGCGACCAGAACTCGCGGCGAGCGGAGAGCTCGAACCCCCAAGCGTGGCGATGTAGCCTGGATTCGCGGATCGCCTCCTCGAGACACGGGAAAATGCATTAAGTAGCTGCTTCGAAGCACGTTTACCTTGCTTGCTCGAGCAGCTCGAAGAGATCGTATCTGGTCATATCATCGAAAATCATCACGATACGACCGGGGGTGCGATCACTGAGTCCGAACCGAGTTCCGTCTCCTCCAGCGCACGAATAAATTCCTTACTTTACAATTCACGCTTTGGTTTCACGGCACAGGTGTCACTTTGGTACCGATGCTTATTTGGAATGCGCGGGGTTGCGGCGTTGGTAACACACATCTGATGTTTGGTCGGCTCAGACGTGGTCTCGTGCATGTCCCAGCGGCAATATTTCCTTCCCTCGAACAAACAGTCGAAGGGAAAGAAATTGGAACACCTATGGAAGAGATCCGAGAGCGTCAGAGATGGGTGAGCCGTACACATACCGCGAGCACTTGAAGACGGTCGTCGTGGGGAACAGCACCGTGGGTAAAACATGCCTGCTACTCGCGTACACCCTGAGTCACTTCCCCATCGACGTCCCTCAGACTAATTTCGATAACTACTCGGTGTCCCTGGAGTTTGAAGGCCGAGAAGTTTCCATGGCGCTGTTCGATTCCGCAGGTGAGACATCCGCGAGCATAGATGAGCTCCGCCTCAATATGTGGCTCAACGACTGCTAACGGTCCGCAATCTTACAGGACAAGAAATGTTCGATCGCTTGAGATCGCTCTCGTACCCGTCGACGAACGTGTTCCTGGTGTGCTTTTCGGTCGCGTGCCGAAAAAGTTTCAACGACGTCAAGGCTAAATGGGTACCGGAAATCCAACACTACAGCCCGGGGACGCCATTCATCCTGGTCGGCACGAAAGTCGATCTGAGGCACGACAAGCCAACTCTGGAAACCTGCGAGTAAGACACGGCACTCTCTCGATTCACTCGAACTATTCGATTCAGCGAATACATTCGCTCCCAGTAGGAGAATGTTGACGAATGAGCTTCTGATCCTGCCCAGGAGGAACAGAACCAGGATCGTTTCCCTTCAGGAAGGGGAGGGTCTCGCTGAGTCGATCAACGCAGCAAAATACGTGGAAACTTCTGCCTGTCTCATGGTGAGCTGGAGATTCCTCACGGGTGATTTAGCTTCCCTTCGGGGCTCGGTGTCTCGGAATCGAAGGTTCAGTCTGAGACGGATCTTCAGAATCGCTCTCTTTTTCTAGTACAACGTGAAGGAAGTGATCGAGGAAGCTCTCGTGGTGGGGCTCACGCCGTGCGCTGATCCCGAGCTGAATCAGTGCTGCCGCATCCTCTGAATCCACGTTCAAACAATCGGAGATCATGATGCAGGAAAAGAATCGGAGCTCCGAGAGCGGCACGTCGCAAATGGAATCGATAGACAGATGGGAGGCGGCTCCAGAATCAACGTGATCTTCAATTCTACAGCGGTGCGTATGAGGGAGAATCGTCCGAATGTGCCGAACCGTTGGGGCTCGGGTCGTTCCTCGAACCGTTCGGTCGAGGCTCAGCTGTGTCTCTTGAGCTCGAACTTCCAAGCAGGAGGGACGTCCTTGGTTTGGTGACGACTGATCATTAATTGGAGTACGCACGGTCAGCAGATTCGTTTACATTAAGAATGGAATAAATTATCGCTTCTTCTAGAAGCCTCTATCCTTATTCTCCGATAGTTTCCCTGAACCAAAATCTGACTCGGGGCGCCGCGCTCCTACCTAGTTCGGAAGATTCCGAACGATCGTCATACCGAACATGGAGTTCTCTGCGAAGTCCATAGTCCCAACCAAAACGTTACCCTGGAGGCCCATAAAGAAGACGAGCTCGCGCTCAAATGAAATCCTCCCGTTACTTCACGGGATGAGCCAATGAAAACACGTGAGCGTATCTCCAAGAATGAGAGAAACCGCGATACACAACTATGTGCGACCGAGGTGTTTCCGGCCCCGTCGTCCCGACGGAATGAGAGGAATCGCATCAAATTGAATAATGTTTATTGCATGCGAGAACTTTTAAATTCAGAGTGGGATGCCCTCGACAGCACGGTTGCACGCCTTCAGTGTCTATGAGGATTGCTTGTCCTTCTGACTCTCGTTCTGAGCCCACTCACCCCAGGGCCAGTTCGGTGGAACGGGTGGGTACTGCGTGGTGGGAATTTGATTTTGTCCTCCGAAATCGCCGCCGTTAGCCCCGGAAGATCCACTGCACTTGTAGAGTTTCTGAACCCGTTCGACATCAGCTGGGCTCAGCCCACCCTTATCGTGAACTTCGTTCAGGATTCCTCCGCTCTTAGACATCATCGTGTATTGGCCGTTGTTCGAGAATGATTTCGACCCGTACAGCATCACGGAGTTGTAGTCAAACTTGTTATAGAGGCGATTATCGTACGGTTGGAGTTTCTCGAATTGAGGGTAATACTGGGCATCCACATTCTCCAAGTAAAGGTCGATGTATTGATCCCTGGAGCAAGAAATACCTTCTGTTAGGATCGCAGATTCATGCCTCTGCTCCTCCTCTAAGCGCTTTCCTTTGCGTGCTCACGCCGAGCTTCAAAAATGATGTTCGCTGGCTCAAGTTCCGCTTCAGTCTCACCTGTCGCTTCGTGTATGTTCGTGATAGAATCCAACGACGTGTCCCAGCTCATGAACCACGGTTCCGGGGTAATGGCATCCTTGACCGAGAGAGAGTGGCTGCTCACCCCCCACCATGCCGACATTGGCATAGCAGCCCTGGCCGTTGAATATTTTCACGTAGTTCCGTTGAGTACCATCATAAGGAACGAACCTTGTCGTGGAGGAGAGAACAGGCCATGGTTAGGATCGACTTGATTAAGATACTGGAAGACCTGTTCGAGTTCTCTGGGGGTGGGCGTTCGCTATGCAGGTTCACCTGATGCAGGTCTTCTGGTGATATTGCTGCATCGCGCTCTGGATCATTGAGGATAGGCTCTGCAGGGAATAGTCGATCACGTAAGGGATTCGACCATTCGGCCAGAGACCTCCGTCGTTGGCGAGCGCATTGTAGCTCAGGTTTCCCGAGCCGTTGAGGATATCACCTGGCCGTGAGACGTTGTTTAAACGATAAACCTTATAGATTCAAAGGTTCTCCTTTAGTTGCCTCCAGACAGGAAGGCAGTGTCCCTCATATCTTCCTATCTCATTGTGAGGACTTTTTGGGAAAGTTTTCCCGATATCGTATAGTCTCGATTTCCCTCGCTCTCCGTCTCGATATCGCCATTTCTTCCTTTCCGACTCTGCTCTCAACAGCTTACCCTCGAAGAGGCGCGGATTTTCCATGGGTCTGTCTTTATTCGCGGTCGCTGCTATGTCCGCATCGAGTCTCAGGAGGGGCGACAGCGGTGTCGCCCACAAAGGAGACACGATTGTCGCGAGGCAAATGTAACGGAACATCTCTATCGAGCACGGACTCACTATGAAATGAGCAGGTCTCTTTCGATTTCACCCTTATATATATCCCGCCCGTTCGAGACTAATTTACTGTTTAAACGTAGGGAGCCGGAGTCATAGGGGCCGGATCATATTCCTCGATATATGCTCGATACGGGTTAACGTGGTGTCACCGACCTCCTTACCCAGCATTTTCTGCTAATTTTCTCCCTTCCGATGCGAAAAATTGCGCATAGGACGGATCGACGACTGACACCATCTCGAATGAGAGACAGAACCAGAATCATTTTTCTAATGCGGACATTCGGAGATAGCATTGGGACTCGGGCTTGCAAGTTTGCTCAATCACGACCGATTCTGGGTGTTTCTGGGCAATAGCTCGCGACGTTAATAGGCGATGGAGAATATTGGCACGTCTTGAAAAAGAATTTATTCTCAAACAGTTCAGGGAAGCGGCGGTGTTATCTCCGAAACACTCCGAGCATGACAGTTTTCCCAGTCTCGTAAGGTAGGGGCTGAGGGCTGAGAGACGGTCCCTCATTTCTCCCTCGGTTCATCCTCGAAGGCAGAGTCGGGCGGCAAGTGTGCGTTGATCAGTTTCAGGGCTTCATGTTCACGACTAACAATCAATAAATCTTTGTGATGATGAAGAACAGCGATCGACGGCAACCTATGAGGGGAGGCGGAACTTCGCGGGCAGGGTCATCTATTCCTTGAGCATAACGTCTTTGATCCAGGGTATGAAGTGAGGAACCTCAGTGTAGACTCCGGGTTTCCTCGGCCTCGCGCAACCGTGTCCCCAGGACACGATACCTTTCAAGTAGGCTCGATCAGCGGAATACTGGATGGCAGGACCTCCAGAATCACCCTTTGAATGGAAGCAAATCATTTATGAGCCCTGTTCCGACAGAAACGTTGCTAATGGATATAATCAAGCCCCCTCAAAAGAATATGTCGCTGCATCAATCGCCTCCTGGGAGGCAGCCGACCATTGGCCGAGACTTCATCCCTAGGAACCGAGGGAAGGGAACGAGTGTTCGAGGGCCGGAATCATCAATTCTCTCGAAAACGTAGAAAGGAGGTCCTTACCTGGCACGAATCCTTGCCGCCCTCGGGCAATCCAGCGCAGAACATCGATTTGGATTCAACTTTTGAACCAAGTAATATATTCCATAGCGAGAAGTATCTGTACTGACAGTTGAAATCGGATATCACGGGAATTACTACGGACTGCAATGATCTCGACTCGTCCAATGCAGACTCTCTCGTTTTACCTGGAACATCCGCGATAGATTTCTCTGTCAGAATCACCTTTTCTGTGATCAGGTGTCATCTTCAGCACAGAGCATTGGATTCGATGTGTTGGATTTAGCAAAGTCACTCACCCCACCCGGAAACCGTCACATTCCCTGTTACTTCCTCAGAATTTTCAGGTAGACATATAGGCCCAACGTATCCTTGAGATCCCGTGAAGTTGAAAGGCGTTCCCAACTTGAATTGAAGAAAGTGATCGTCTCGTGACTTATGCATTCGAGCCTATACAAAAGGATGCACCCCGAAATTTTGCGATGTTTTGGAAAGTTTGCTAAGACTCAGTCAGAGTCGTGTTCTAACCTTCAGCAAGGCGATGTCATTCCGATGACCACCCGGGCCGAAGCCGGGATGTCTGATGACTTTGACGACTTTTCGAGTCTGCTTGTGAGCATTGTCTAGGTAAATGTCGTGTATCCCCGCGGATGCGTCGTACTCCCCTGCTCCCGCTTTGTTGTAGAAGCAGTGAGCCGCCGAAGCCACCCAGCTACCATCGATTATGGCACCGCCGCAAACGTGGCGTCCGAACCGTGAAACGGAAACCTAGAAATGGACGGAGTCTTTCCCTGACGACGAAAAGTCACGAGTGGCACCCCCGGGCGATATGTCGCGAACGATTCAGAGGAACGCCTAATACCTATCATCAATAGTCCCAAGTATATCCCGGTATCCCTCCTGGGAGACCCACGAACCTGCCACGGGAACTGCTTCCAGAATGCTTCTTGACCGCCAATAATCCTCGATGAGACTGAATGAGGATATTCCCCGCATGTCTGGGCTGAAAATATCTCTTGTTCATCACCGGAATTCGGAGAGCAATTATCTCGGGCAGAAAAATATTTCGGTGGGAGTACAGCTTAAGCTCCATCTGGGAGCGCAAGCTCGCCCGCGTTGGATATTCCCTCGGGAGGGCTCCCCACGGGGACAGTGAAATTCCCTATGGGGACTTACCACCTCCTGATGCTAAGCCGCAAGCGACCACTGTCAGTGCGAGAGCTCGCATGATCTCCTCAGAAGTAGCGAGTACTGTCAGTCGGAGCACCGTTTATCCTGAGTGAGATTGCTAATGCACACTTCGTGATGCAGTGCAGGGTGTTTTCCGAATTCATTCCCATTCCTTATATATGTAAAGCACATCCACGATACACAGCGAGGGTAGGCCTCACGATAGCGCGGCAAAAGCTGGGAGTGAGGCGCTCAAGGGGAACGGTGCGATCGACGCGGCTTTTCGTAGTCATCATCACGTGGCTCATCTCTTGGTGATCTCCTCCACCTGACGTGTATCACGAATTGAATATAGTTTCCTGCTCGAATGACAGACAAGCAAAGCCGACAACGTTTGAATGGATTCGGCACATATGTCGATTCGATTGCATAGAGTGTAACGGACAGCTCAGTCCAGATAAGAGCTCGATTAGCGAAACTACCGAACGGCCTTGGCCTTCGATTCTAGGAACAACTTCCGCGATAGTCCGGCTCTACATGAGCGAGGTCGCTCGCCTCAAACATCGACGGCTCGATTGTACGTTCGACAAGGGACAACTTCTGCTTTTCATGACGGGTGACGTCACGGCTACACTCTACTGAGTTCGTCAAGCATCGACGCTCGGATGACTGTTATTCGGAACAGGAAGTGGTTTGCTACTCTCAGGATGCACCGTATCCATGCACAGATTGATTTCGGCACCGTAATATGCACCTAAGTCTCGAGACTCAGGGAAGAGATCTTCTAAGCCGGAAGATTTTGGCTCATTCAAGATTTCATCTCAAACTTGACGACCATGATTCTACCGTAGGAGATTGAGCATCAATCCTCGGTCGACACTGAAGAAATACACCACCTCGATTCCACGGTAGATTCGACCTTTGAAACTGATGACTCACTGAAATCTCTGATCGAGACTAACAAGGTAGCGTGACGGCGGATATTCTAATGTATCTTATTCTGAGGTATTCCCCGACTGATGTGAGAGCCGTCAGTCGACTCGACCGACTGAGGAAAGCGCGGAGCAGAGCAAAGAGTCCCCGACTACGTGCGACTTATCGTACCAGGCTGGCAAGAGCCACTTCGGAATAAGATTCTAGACTGGACCGTTACGCGAGTCCGGGCGCATCCAGATGGACCATTCGGGGAGTATGGGGGCCATTGAACTGAACTTCTTCTTGGGCTCATGATATCGTTCTCATGTATTCGACAGCATCTTCCTCGGGTAACGCCCCCTTTCCCCCGAAATCATGAGTGATTGCGACTCGATAGCGTAATTCGAATCAAAGCCCCAAATCGACACCCGGTCGTGAGAGTGCGCGTACTTGGAGCGCCGGGGAAGCATATTCTCGTCGAGAAGAACCGTTCGCGAGCGAAACGGCTGTATCCGATTCGTAATCGAAGTGCATAAATGTGGAAAAGAGGATATTATGGAGACAGACCGGAGTTCATGACCGCCCGGAATTCGTCGATACCGTGTGACAAGAGACATTCTTCATGACATCTTGATCAGTCGATGGGAGTTTCGTCTCCAAATTGCTCGAGGAGCACTAGATCGGTGCATCCAGCTTGAAATCGAAGCCATGGCTCGCAGATGGAGGAAGTCCACGCTTCGCTTGACGAACGTCGGGGTGAGTACGGATTCTAATGGAAAAAGCTAATCTCTGCACCTGGAAATCCCTAGCGCCAGTCGGTACGCGGTCTTCCAAAGTTCTCCCTACCAAAAACCTCAGTGGGAGTCTTTGCGCGGTTCGACGAGGCGCATGCTGGATTCAATCATGGGAACGATGGGCATAAAGTTCGAAGTCATCTTCCGGAACGATCATTTGTAAGGCACGAAACTCGCGAACGGTTCATGGACCGGGTTATTGGAGACCTTGCCAGAAATGTAAGTGATTCCCTGCGGCAACCTAACCCATTCACCTCTTATCGGATACATATATTAACACGCTGTGGCTCCGTGTACTTGCTCCCGCTATTCGCGCTGCTTTCCCAGGCTGCAGATAAAGCCATCGGACCCTTTGTCATGACCGAAGCCGAAGTTGCGGTTCCGTCATTGCCCTACACAGACGAGGACCTAGTCATTGTTTCTGGGGTCCAGAAAGACCACGAGTGGAATGCCTACGGTTACATCAGCACCATGGACTACCAGGTGATTCCGAGGGGAATATGAACTTTCGTATTCGTGGGAAGTTTCACCGATCGACTCCGTCAGAATCCCTCGGTCCTTACGCGAATACGTATCTCCGTGCGTTCCATGCAGAACCCCGAAGAGAGAAATTCGGCTATGAAGTTTTTCCTTTCCGAGGTCTGGCTACTCTTGCCGGTGAGCTGCATTGGAGATCATGTTTGTGATCGAGATCACGTACCTAGAATACGATCTCGAACTGAGCATCCGACGTCGCCAGGGAATATTTCATCGTATTTTCTGGGTCTTTTGGGCGGCGACTGTCCAGGAGACTTCGACTATACACCTTCGGAAGGGTCCTCATCGTATCGCCCTGGCCTCTTAGCTCTTGGGCACCATGTTCATAATGGAAACGTCCATCTGCCACATGGACTCCGCGCTTATGGCCAAAAGTGGAACCTCCAGAATCAATGACGTCGACCAGCTGATCAAAGGAGAGGACATGAAACCCATGATTTATGATATCAGCGGCTACAAAACTATATACTAGGCGCGTGTTTCCTCTCAATCACCAACGCTTGTTCCGAGATTTGTGATTTCCTCAAAGCCGGAGCCTATCTCACACTTGAGGGTAGCCCTGACCGTGGATCTATTCCAGAACGCAGAGACCGTGACGTTCAAACAGGTCATGGACCAAATCAATTTCCACGGGGGTGAGTTTTACGGCGATGAACTTTTCACACCCGGTCAGTATCAAAGTATATCCTTCTTCTCCTCTCAGCGCAACTCTTCTTTTATGACGTAGAGCTCGGAGTACCTCACTTCCGTGCTTCCATTCGACTCGCCCTGGGATGTGACTTCTGCGTGTATTGGTGACCACGGTGAGCTGATTCAGCTCAAGCCGAATATTTATTTGCCTTAGCTCAATAATAATCGAGCACCAGGTGGCCATTGTTTATTCTGTAGCCTGTTTGCGCTCGACTCTAAACAAGCAAGCATTCATGCTCCTAGAGCCGCTCTCTTTTCACGAGGATAAAAAAACAATGCTCAGCGCTCAGAGGCGGAGGTCTCGTCCGATTGAGCAAACAACGTAGACTCCAGGATAAAATGGTGTTCTACGCGAGGAAGCAACTGGAATGGAGAATCCGAGCTGAGCTACAGAAGAGGTTATTCTGCCTACTTGAGCCGCATCAGATCTTATCACCGTTTTGCAATCTTGAATCCGTGGTCATGTGTGAGAGAGGCCTAGAGTCACGCATTTTCGATGTTCGTTTGGTGATTGACTCCGGTATACAGTCAAGTCTTCCTAAGTTATAATTCTCGGGAGACCGATTTCGGAGAAAATTATAACTTATAAGTTAGCGAAGGCTCATGTTTTTTCCTGTTCTTCCTCTTCCAGCGATATTTTATTAACATTCCTATGGTGAAAGTCTATGTTATAAGTTATCGGAGCGCTGCTGGGAATTGGTTCAAATTATAACTTAGCGAGGGTTTTTAATTTAGGGCGGGTTCAATTTAGGAAGACTTGACTGTACTCGCCATCGGAACAACCGATACATAAACGACAAGGGAAACTGCTAGACTGCGGAGCAGGCTGATCAGATGCATGGCTATCACGATTTATCTTAGGTTCTATGACTTGGCGAGTATTGTTTCCATGCATCGGTCATCAGTCATCAGTGATTCGATCTCTTCTAATTGCTGAGAGCGACATTTGGGCTTGATTGGAATACGGAGAGACCATGGCAATGTTGTTCATTTCCCAAAAAAAAATCCCATGCTCAACTTTCGGCGATTATGCAGGAAACTGATGAACACCCGTTGTTGAGAATGCAGGCGACGGTTCCAAAGGGGACGTATCTTCCGCGCAGCTCTCTGATGCATCCGACGGATTTGAGAAAGTCCACGAGGGAGCTGAATACACGTGAGGATATCACGAACGCGATTCCATCGATCCGGAATACATATGAATAGGAGTTCTGCCGAACTCAAATCACCGCATTGAGATAATTCTCTAGTTTCGAGAGATTCGAGCCGACTACCTGGTCGGACGCATGGCGCTGTGGGAAATTTGGGCGATGCAATATTATTAGGAGCCCAGTCCCTACAAGTATCGCTTACGCAGTCGATATCACCAGAGATGGGAAGAAATGTTCAGTCTCGTGAGATATGAGGATACAGAGATATCTCGCGTCTCTACGATTCAGACAAGCTCTTATCCAGGGCTCGTAGAGTGAGTCCTTCAAATGGCGCATAGAAATTACCGGTGTACGGTTTGAACTGCCCGCTCCACGAATCTATTTCTCTGATCTGCGAAACGGAACATCAGATCTTCTCTACGACCCGCGAAGCTAGTGTTCGGAAGGACACGGAACTAGCCTCACTCATACCTGGAGCGAATCTCTTATGTACGGTAACGTATCATTACAACAGGACGAGTGAGCGGACGGGTAACCGAAGACGTAGTTTTATTCTCCCCATGTTGGCTTCAACTTTGGCCTGGAGTACGTAGCAGGTCTCATCTCGGAATTGATAAGTTGAAATAATTGAAGTTTCCCATAAAAAAGACGATTCAATCTTGAGGCAGTACATATGTCCACTCCTCCGCGGTTTTCACTTGCTCGACACTTCTTCGATCGATCCCTAGTGCCATCGAATCAGACGTGGGCGACCGCAGATGGGGGACTTTCCTTTCGAAACCGGCTCTTTCCCGCGATTGAGGATCTCTCCGAGATTACTTCGGATAAATGTGCGTGCCTCTCGCGTGAAGGCGACGGTCAGGTATCAACCCATTGAAGGCGTGACACTGACTGCGTGAAGTCCTGGATGCGGAGGAGCGAATGAGGTGGGGAATCTCTCATCCCGGAAAAATTTATAACTGAAGTATGAGCTGATGAAGAAGCAAATCATCGCGAATAGGCCGAAGACACCAGCCACTTTGGTGGCTGCGTTATCGTTGGGATCCTGGCAATAGGCACAGAACTCGAGAAGGCATACGATGAGGTAGAAAAGACCACTGAAGCTGTCGCAAACCAGTAACTGCAATAAAAAAGACAGGAATCATGATGATGATCAGTTCGAGAGAGGCAGCCTCGCGGACGACCGTTCCAGAAGAAATCAAGGAACCAGGGAGTGAAGCCGCCGACGCAACGCAAAAGTTTCATCCCTCGCTTCCGGCGGGCTTTATCCAAAAGATGGCTTAGTCCCCGCAGACTACTCATGATTCTGAAACTCCATATCATCCCAGGCAATAGGATTTGAACATCCGCCCCGAGGCCGCTATTCTGTGAGCCATCATAAAAATTCCTTAACATCTAACGATGTTTAGACAACTTTGATTTGTTTTCCCTCGATAATGGGGCAGGCGAAAAACCATGAGAGCTCTGTCAATGAATGGCACTGAAAGCATGCGGCGGGGACTCACCAAGAAAGGGAAGTTCACCAGGCTGGACATGAGCTCCTGGCTCCGTAGGACGAAAACTACGACGAAAAATAGTGCTAGAAGAAAAGAGACAATCAGAACGAACAGAGCGAACTCGTATCGATGCACGTAGGTTTCGTAGCAAGTCGTTCCGATCGACTCTATACAGATGATGCCGCAAACGCCGAACACCTAGGGAAACATCAAAATGTAAGTACAGTGAACCTAATGGGTCTAACGGGTGCACCCGGCTAGCGCGTGAGAAAGGACCGAAACCCCAGGTTTCGAGTTGGATTGCGCGACCGAGGACTTTTTCTAGGTGGGAATTGATCTCTTCAATCTTTCGGTCGTAATCGGAAAGTGTCCGCGGAAATAGCATCGGAAGGATAGTATGTGGAGTCATCACGATTCACGCTCATTTCCCAGATACCAGGCGATATTGACGCTCGATATTCGACTCTTTTCCGATCTGACGGATTCAGTCGCTATGCTACAATTCTGAACTTCTGTGTCACGCTTGAATGGAGAGTTGTGCGCGACCGCAGAGGCGCTCACCGAGAGGGAAAGGGATTTGAGCGTCTCACTGGCTCGCAGAGCTTGCGAGGACGGCGGGGTATCACACTTGGTCAGCGGCGATCCTGTCTCCCTCGCTAAGATCTCCCTCGAGCTCCACGATCGAAGCCTCTTCGTTCTACCTTCATCCTCATCTAATACGCATTCAATCGGGAAGAATACGGAGAGGTCCAGCTCTCTGTCGAAGCTGCCAGCCCACTCAGCCGCTTTGCATGCGGTACTATTTGATTGGCGGAGGAGATTGCTTCTGCGATAGGTCCGTTCAATTTGATGGCATTTTGGGCTCTTGCGATTCTATGAGATCCCCACGGTGTGACTTCATATGGCGAGATTGAACCATTCATGCCGTCATTCCCGAGAATAGATCGCAGATTCCCGAGAGATCTCTATAGCAGAGAAAATCGGTGCCTGGTTCAAGTGGACCGATGACTGGGTGACTGGGTGGCCCCATTGGGTGGTCGAACCCTCAGTCAGGTTTATATGTATCAATTTTCCAAGAAAATCAAGGAAACGGTGAGCTCCAGATCCAAGAGGCCTTCTTTGGATGATCCGCTCTCGGACGGCGAGCTCTCGGTACCTGAACGTCGCGGACCAAGTGAACGTGTTCTCTCACAGCCAACATAAACGAACTCCACACAGCGGTCACAGGTCACTGTGATCATTCGACTCAATACTTAATGTTGCTCCGAATTGTGCACTCTTCCCAAGATTACCCACACTAACTCTCCTTAACATCACTTAATTTTATCTTCCCTCCGCTGTGAGCGAGCGACGCATCATTCCTCTCTATTTCCTCACTATACTCACGATCTCGGCTATTCGAAGCATTCCCTGTAGAGAGGTAACGAACGCCTTGTCGGGTCCCAGCGTCGTCATTGTGCGTCGCCAAGTGGTTCTCAGTCTGCTGCGGCTGCGACGATTGCTGCGACCCTCAGACTACGAGCTCGGAGGGTGGAAATCTAGAGCTCTCAGAACTGTTCGATCGTTCCTTAGCCTCTCGGTGTGGCTGACACTAAATAAGTTTCATCTGCAATGAAAGTACACTGCGGTCATAACGAGAGGAGGCTTGCGGCTTCCTCGGCTATCATTTGCACCCTGTTTACGAGAGCCTCAATCGTGAGCGAACTAATTGATGCAGTCTCGTTGGGGAAGTCGTGTTATTTTGAGGAATCCTCTCCGGCTGACGTCATCGGAAGGCTATCGATGGGAGTATCCCCGAGTTTTCCCCTTGACTCCCGTTCCGGGGACCGGTGCAAACCTCGATATATCCGAATCTGGATGGTCTCCACGCTTGAACGCACGTCTCGGAGTCCGCATCAGGTGGATCCGACCCAAGATTCCAAATCACCATTCGAGTCAAAATATCAAGACAGAAAATATAGAAATGCGTATCGTGATTCTCCCGAGAAGGACTCGTGAGGAGCGGATTTTTTGCCGCCCTGCTGCCCCGATACGCCGAATGCTGTCGCGGCCGAGCTCGCTATCACTACCCGTTAAGGTCCCTGTTCTCATCGGGGCGAACTCGGGAGAAGCTTTTGTAGGGAGTATATGTCTCTGAATATCGCTATGTAGGTCAGGTATCGTTCCGATACTGAAGACCTCTTCAACAGAACTCGCATGCTCATCCGGGATAATTTGCGTATTCCAGACTCTCTCTCTTCCATTTCTCAGCGCTCTTTTATGGAGAGTTTCTTCGAACGCCTAGAGAGTCGATCGCTCTTCTCCTATGCCGGTCCCGTCGATCAGAGATCCTGGAGCTCACACCCATCATGAGCTGGGTTGCGATTCATGTCGAGAACTCTCGCGGAACTGGAGCCGGTTGGTTTGTCCCTCGACCTCGCACGAGTCTTCCTCAGCACTGAACTTGCGGAACAGACGAACCGGCTCGCCGGCTGGTCACGCTCTGGCAATCGCAGGGCATACCGAGCCCACAAAGGCAAGCCACGCAGACGCTCCGCGCGAACATCGGACTCCGTTTATCGACAAAACACTGGCGCTTACATGTGAGGTATGCAGAGAAGATTGTCTATCGATTGAAAACGCACACACGCCTAAGCAGCTTCATTCATCAAAAACGCTCACTAGATGCTACTGTTTCCTATGAAGTCGAAGCATTCTGACTCTGCTGAGCAGCTTTGCTGGAAGCGTGTGCGCCGATTTCTCCGGGAGAGAGGGCTCGAGCTCGCGTCAGCTAGGAATAGAATAGAGGGTTCAAAGAGAGTTCTGACGCCGGCCGATAGCTCTGTTCGGCTCGCGGGCAGGTCGCTCAATTACTCGGATCGGACAATCGGGCAAGGTAGCGGAGCCTATCGAAGAGGGTTTCATCCCTCCAACGTCTTCTTTACGGGCCCATCCATGTTTCCGAATGTGGGACATGGTAGTGGCTGACGTTGCCGGACGAAGTGGAAAACCTCTCAGGTGATCGGTTCCGGGATCATTCTGGTTTCCGGCGCGGAGAGTAGGTACACACGGATCGTCATCATCGTACATACTGTTGGGGTCTCACAATCATCGCATCTCACCGCTATGCTCGGTTTTCGGGCAGAGAATAGGGGATAGAGACCTATAAGAGACCCCGACTTTCTCAAAGAAACACAATGGGTCCAACAAGGAGATATTGACAGCGCTTTCCGTTCTGAGAACGTCATAGTGGGTCAGATTGCGAACATTGTAATTTATTTGATCCCGCGAGGAGCTCATATTCACATGAACCGCTCTTCAGATTCAGTCTCGACGGTTTGAAGAATACTATTTCACGTGGACCGACATCGCACGAGACCTGATGCGTTGAAGCGACGGGAATCATCGATTTCCGATTCCTGCTTCCTTCGACTTTTCATGGGAAGGGTATTCCCGCTTCCAACTCGCCTCAAAGGAGTATCTATTCGGCCTTGAGTGTATTCTTGCAGTCTTCGTTCTTAATTTTCTTGAAGTCGTTAGCGCTCAAACCGAGTTTCCCTATTACCTCATTCAGTTTACTCTGGAAGGGCTCCTGGTTATGGGGTTTCGTTGTAACCACGTGATAAGCAGCTGAAAACAGAGGAAGTGCGATGTGATCGATGACTCCTGGAGACTGCGAGGACTTCTGCATCTGAGGCGAGCTGGGGAATCCAGCGCCGCCCTGGAACTCGCCAAGCGCCATAGCTCAGCTGAGAAAGCGGTAAGCTCCAGGAAAAGTGAAAACTTGGGCGCTCCTACCGTTTCCGTTGCTTTGAGCCCAAACGATTGCCCAATTATCGTAGTCGGAGGCGACGATACCGATCTCCATCAATGTTGCCCCACCAGCTTCTAGGAAAAATCTTGCCGGATGGGACTTGTCTTCTTTCACGTTGAGGTCAAGTTCCGTCATTTCGCCACTGCAAGAGCATGCTGATCTCAAAGCAGCCCAGATCTCAAACATCCCACATCATGATTACTCTCGTGTAGAAGCTGCGGATAATTTCCAACTTACTCGGTCGAGATGAATTGAGTTGCAATCATGAAATCCGAACCCGATTTCTTTATGACGAAATGTGCGCATCGATCAGCATCGCCGTAGATCGATTCGGTGAAGCTGTCAACCCACCAAACATGGCCGAGATTGAACTGCAATGCCCGATGAAGAGCTCTCGGGTTCAATCGTTACGGTGTCGGGATTCAATGAATGACACATGCCGGAGAAGTATGCAAATTTTCACCTTGAGAGCATCGAAAGGTTCCATCAGCATTTTGGGTGCGCCTCCATGAACCTCGATCGTATAACAAAGAAATAACGCGAGAAATCCAAAAGTTCCCATGACGGCCTCCTCCGGAACGCTAATCGCTTTCGCTGATCGAAACATTGCGCATTTATGAGATTCGCTAGATTGAAGCGCTGAAGGCCACTTTAATTCCAACGTATTGCTCGAACATCAACAATGGAGAAATTCGCAAAAAATTAACTCAAACTACAAAAAAGTTGACTTGTCCCCGACGTTCGCAAGGGAGGTCTCGATGCCCTCGAGGCCATCCTGAGATCTGATTGCTCGGTCTGGCATCGGGATGACTCTAAGCTTCAGTCGCGATGGCAGGCGAGATCTCTCTAAACGCTGAAAAGCCATTTTTGAGCAACTCTTCATCTCGGAGCTCATGCCGCGGCTGTGATGCTCATCAGAAGCTCCCCGCGTTGAAGATTTCCCCATGGAAAAAATGATGTTCCCGAAATCTGAGGTGATTTTCGTTCGCTTTGAATTGTTCGGTGAGTGGGCATCAAGTCATAGGAATTTGAATAGACTTTTAATCGAGCCTACAAGCCTCGTTGTTATCATCCAAAGCTCACTTTCCTCATATTTATTAAGTTTCCCATCGATACAAAGCACCAGAACTTCTCGGAGAGTCCTCAAAAACGATCCCAGCCTAACTCCGATCACCTTTAAGTCATTCGATGTGCGGAGAGTGAACGATAGCTGAGTCATAAGATCGTGGGTAGCAGCGTCCCCTCGTATCCCTTGATCGTTCTCGACTTTACATTCGAATGCACTTTTCTGATCCTCCAGATACAAGATAGAACCCATCTCATGATACCCAGAGGAACTCTCCGACTGGGCAGGAGGTTCACCCAGACTCTCTCGGCTCCTGCAACGCAGACAGTCTCACTCTTTCACAAATAGAATAAGAGCTGAGAAAGTTCAGCACCTTGTGCGGGATCTCTCAATGAACCACAGTATTCCTGGAGGAGCGTCTCGGATCTGCATCGATGTAGGTGCAGTGGTAACAGGGTCACAATCTTATTGTAATAAGTTTCGCGGTCGGAGCACGGGATCTCGGCGATTTTATTGAAAACCTGCTTCTCCGCATCGAATCTGTGGGGAACAGTCATATTATAGGTGACTTCGATGAGAATTTGGGAGACTAAACCGATCAAGACATATCATCGACCAGGAGAACTTACTCAACGATCATGACGCAGTCGCGAGCCGCGAAATATTTGTAGAGCGTTAGACGACTCCCGACAATCAACATCTTCGGACACTTGTATCTGTCCCCTTGCAGGACCGGACTCGGTCGGGTCTTGGGCGTTGGGAGAACGACCTCTACGACACTCTCGATCTGCTTTGTCTCCAATGAGATCACGTATAACCTGCAAGGGATTTGAGGGAAAAATGTCAGATTCTCTATGGATTACGGGCGGATGGTTCGATCTCTCCCACCGGCGAACATGGAGATGATGTCCCCACTGACCTATCATGGATTGGATTGAAGTCGCGATCGCGTAGTTCCAGGTTCAACTCCTCGTATGCGTAGAGCTTATCATCGTGGAGGAGGATATCGGTGAATCGGAGCTTCTCACAGCCCGGTGCGCGAGGGATCGTTGCGACTTCGCCGCTGAGTCGATCACAGATTTTGACGCTCGAATCCAGCAAGTAGATCGCGACCTCCTTACGGAGGATCATCCGCGGCGGGCTGAAGTTCAACTCCATGGGCGGCTGGTATTCGACAATCTTTGCGTCCTGCAAGACGGGTGTGCACTCAACCTTCAGAGATTATTTCTCGATGATCCGCGCAGATATTTCAGCTCGCCAATCACTTACCGCGAAGCTCAAGGGCTCAAATTGCAGCGTTTTCAAAGGCTTACAGAAGCCATCGAAGATACTCAAAGAGAGCTCCGTTCCATCGACGGACTCTGCGAAGTCAGGCATAGGCTCCTCTCGTCGGTATTTGATGCGTTGAATCCAGCGGCCATTTTTTTGTTGTTGGAAAACCAGAAGATGATTGAAATTCTTGCTGTGCGTTATCATGTGAAGGGTATTCATGATTGCCACGAATTGGAAACTGTAGGAAGAGCGATTGAGAGAATCTTAGTGGGTATGAAAAACCACGAAGCGACGCTGAACGGAGTTCAATCGTCGACCTCGAGAGGCTTGAGGCCTGCAGTGATTACAAGGAACTTTTGCTGTACCCGGTCCGATCTCGTCGGAATTCGCCGAAGGTCTGGACGAGGTCCCGAGAGATCACTGACTCGTTTTCAGACCGCACACACTCGATTCGGAATTCTGAGTTGACGTCGAGCTCGAAAAACTTCGGAATAAGCTGAGTTTTCGATTGTTTCCACATGACATGGACATGATGACGATACATCAAGCGCCGAGCGAGCTGATCTTCCGGCAGGTCCAAGAGTTTGCCGCAGTTGATCAGCTCGATGGATGGCTGCAGAAGATCGAAAACTATATTCACTCGTTCCACAAAGCTCGCGCAGGCCGGAGCCGGTTGAAACTCACCACAGAAATGGAGTCTCCCAAAGCGGATTTGAGCCTCTCGAACGAGTCTTTCGTCAAGTGTGGCAATCTGATACACTCGACCACGGTTAAGATGCCGCTTGTGTCGGGCCTCGTCCCCAACCATTTCACGACGATATCGCACACCTCATCTTCGGACTTCACCTGGAATCGGGAAGCTAATGAGCCCGGGCTCGTTGGGTCTACGACCGCAGAAAGTCTTTCCCCCTTGTGTTCGTCAGATCAAACTCACATTCAGCTCGTCCCTCGATAGCACCGATGCTATCATCTCAGGCGTGAGTAAGATGAGTTGGTCATTCGTCTTACTCTCCGAAATGTGCTCGGTGATGTAATCCAAGGCTTCCTCAGCTAGGGAGACCATGAGCGGGTGTTTTGTACCAATCGCGATGACCTTTCCCAAGATTTCGCTCATCCTTCAAGATAAGCAATGAGTCCGTCAGTCAGCATCGAAAATTTCCTTGGGGCCCTCGAAGTGGATATAGAGCGAGTTTGTTCCTAAATTCAAGTTGGTGGAATGACTTCCGTCCTGTCCCGACGTGGGTGGGCACAAACCTTTTCGTGAGGAAATGGCGACACTCCTCCATGAGGCATTCGAGCTGAAAATACTCGGCAACGAGATACACTAAACCGATATTCGACGCGCTCAGCAGGATCTCACCGTACTCCATGAAGTGTACGATGGATTCGAGGGAGTTTTTGGATATTTTCGTCTTGATAACCTTCCGGCGGGTTTCTGTCCATCCTTCTTGGAGGATACCTGTGGAGGCAGAAGTTGAAATAAATTTCGACGACGAATGTCATATTCGGGCAGGCAGAGCCTTCCGGTAGTGACGCCATTACATCAGCGAAACTCGAACTCACATGAGAAGTACGGACTCATGAGCTTGAGGAGCTCCACGTAGGTTGGGAATCCTTTGCCTTCGGAGGAAACGATGACGCAATCTCTCTCACCGGTCTCGATCAATTTCGATACCTCAGACTCATCCGTTGTGTTGATAAGTCTCTTGCCCAGTTCCATTCTGACCATTTCGAAAACTCTCTCGTTCGCGGCTACTGCGAGATGCAGATTCGTATCTGGAGGTTCCGCAGAAGACGAGACAAGCTTCGATAAATTCTCCTGGAACCTTCTGCGACCTCCCCCGCGCTTCGATTCCTTGCCTCGCAAGTTCAGAGAGTTGCAGATTCTCGTGGTTTTAAGGGATGCTCGCTCGTCTTCGAAATCTATTATCCTTTCCTGTCTCTTCTGTGGCTCATCCCCCAACCTTGCTTTTGGGGGCCTGTATAATTTAACTTCCGCGCCACGGGAGCGCCTCGGCGTCGATCCGGCCATCGCTGCGGTGACGCCGTGCTGCGATGAGTCCTTGAAAGAGAGATTGACGTCCCAAATCAAGCGAAGTTCCACTGCTTGACGCTGACTGAGAGATGGAATTCGATCCTATGTGGAACCTACACCGCCAGCTCTCGCTGGTATTCATAGGAAGGTATAATACATGAGAGCGACTCTCGGGCGACTCTCACGATTTTCTTGGTACTCCTGAGAACCGCGCTCGACGATTGATGATCGATCAACTTGTTTCTCGAGCGAACGTCGATTGACGACGAGTTCTGCCCCAGACGTATCGTACGAAGTTCTCGTCAACGAGAGTCTTACTGAGGGTGGGGAGGGAAGGATTCCAAGCGCGGACGTCCAGTCCGGAGGCTTGCCCGTTTTTTCCGAACACACGATGGAAGCCGAGAGTTCACTCGAAGATGGAAAAAAATCCGCTCGAGACGAGCTCGGTTCTTCTCTCGCGCGAAGCAGAATTCCCACCGTGCCACCAGGCTCAGTTGAAATCCTCACTGCTGGATTCGCCGCCGTTCTTATCCTGACTGCGCGAACATCCCTCAAAACTATCGTGAGGAAGCATCCTCGATGTGAACCCTGCCGTTATCCGGACTGCGTCGCGGTCTGGTCGTGGTCGGGACGCGTTCTACCAATCGATACCCTGAGGTCAGCACCAGCGACGAGAATCGAGCTGTTGACTCCTCTCTCCCAGCTGCTTGTGAGTGCCGTGTCATACGATTCACAGTCGGTTCGTCCAGGGGTTCCAAGCGCTGAAGTTTGAGATGTTCTCACTCTTAACACTCTTCAGATGGGGAGAAGATCGTCCCAGAGCGCCGAGCACTGCATCAAAAACTATCGGGCAGGGTTCATAATTCTCCGTTCCCAAGTTAACATATGAGACAGACGACGCCGACCTGACGTCGTATCACGTCGCGACGCTCACGGACTTTCTACGAGAGCTCAGATATAGATTCTCGGCGGCAGAATCGGAGGCGGTCACTAAGGTAATCGGGGTTCGAGGCTATGCCGACACCTGATTTTCAGTAGGAAAATCTCACCAGATTGAGTAGGAATCGACTCCTGTGGTAGCACGTGAAAATTCTCCACTACAAGTGTCAAGGAATCCTTCCAGCCAGACGAGATCACGAGAACAAAGACCGGCGAAACGCGGTCGCGCCGATTCTCTGTTCAGAGATCCAGTCAACCCTCCGCAGAGACACGATCCTCGATGATGGGAGAGCTTGGGAGTCCAGAACCAATTGAACTGTCTCGTCTCGTCCGAGAGTCACCGAACTGAGCGTCAAGCTACAGCATGCTTCGCGCTCTCTGCTCGAGGGTGGATGTGCGAAACCGTCCAGCGGGTCGCGCCGCAGAACGGCGGTTCTTTTCAAACGAGTGAGCATGTGCCGAGAAAGCACGTATCATGAAGTCCATACGTCAAGTTTCCTGGGGCGGACCATCCAGAGGAATGGCGGGGAAGCATTTCAAAAACTCAATCTGTTGCTTAGAGCATGGAGCGGGACGATGATGATGACGCTGATCCCCGGAGATGAGTTCAAAGGAATCGGGCGGTTCGATCGATCCTTTTGAGTTTCGTTCCTTAATTTTGATCGCAGGACTCTCTCCGATGAAACGCAAGCAAGGAGGAAAAGTCCTCCGTCATGCCCGACTGATCGTTCCCGACCGGTCAACAACTGACTTCTCCTCTGTCCCGATCCAATCATAGCGTGCACGTACCTGGCGAACTTGAGCCGCGCGGGGGTGTTCTCGCAGAGTATTAAGAAAGTCGCACAGCACAAACTGAGTCCCTGGGCCGTGTACGACTTCACGGATCGTGCCCACGGGTGAGCGTCGCTACATGTAGTCGAAATGATACGAATCTACAGAATCCATCTCGGAAGGTCGATAAGAATGAAGAAGTTTTCAACGTGCAGGGGATGCCGTGTAGGTTTTCGATAAATCCCTCGATACTTATCAGGGCATGGGACGCCCCAATAAGTATCGCCTTAATTGGGGACGCGTGCGCAGTATCCGTGCCAGGAATTCTTGTTGTGACCGGGTGCTACATGTTGGCGAGATCGCCGTTTTCTTAAACATTTGTGCGTACATTAAACAATCAGGTGCCCGGGTATCGTTCGGAAATCCGGTCCGTCCTTTGCTGTTGACTTATTCGGGTCGAGGGATTCGCAAGACCATCACCCCAGCTTGCCATTAATCTAGAGTCGGGAGGACGCTCTGATTCGGGGTCGTCCGGTAGGGCGAAGCACACCGCTCTGAGCTTGACTGAGAGGCGAAGGAGTACCTTCGATGTGTGGTGAACTCTTGGATTTGATGAGATGATCATGTCTAAGGCTGGGAATCATTCACGGCGTTCTTCTCGAAAATTCACGGCAATTTTCACTCCCCATTGACTTCCTATGGAGGATCGACCACCACCTGATGAACAGAGACATTCTCCCGGGAACCCTGAAGCGAGAACCCGTCGATTCGAGGTCATGATATCAGTTTTCTCAGACAGGAGCTAGGAGATGGAGAAGAAATACGCGTGAGCTCTGAATGAGAGTGAGTGAGCGAGCTACTGCGATGCTGCCAATAAGAGCCTTCGTCGCTTACCAGGCCCTACGGCGATGCAGGTGTGTCGGAACACCTTCCGTCGAAGAAGCTAGTCCGAATAGCGCTTGGGTAGAACACAAACGGGTTGCTTAGGTAAGGGGAATGCTCCAAAATAGAACTGGTCTGCACGTTCTTCACGATTCCTAATTGTTCCTGTCACCACAGCCGTGGGCAAGAATTACGTCGACCTAAGGGGCCCCAGAACCTTCGCCGCTCAAATTATGCCTCGAAACATCTGCTTTTCGCTCAAGCTTCCGCGTCGAAGCAGGCACTACCGCCGCGAAGGGCGACGGTACGGGAACGGAGTTTCAAGGGAGTTCAAGCTTGCGAAACCCTCAAGTGTAGGCCTCACTAAGATTCAAAGATTTTCTCAGAAAAGAATTGGAAGCTCTTTCACGTTTTCCGCTGGGCCGTTTCCAGTGGTTGCGTTGAACGCATGCAAGAGAGCAAGTGAAGGCAAATCGCCTGGGAGATTTCTCGCTCAGAAATGCATGCCCCACATCGGGGAGTCATGGGAATAAGAGATGGGGTTAGCTCGTGAGAGAATTTCCGGACCAAGAAACGACTAGATTAGCGGAGAGAGAGCGACAGGCGGACCCTGCGGTGGAATCAGGTTCGTTTGCAGATCGGGTGTTCATTCGAGTCGAGGAGAACTCTGTGAGTTCAGAAGGGGCAGCAGCCAGGGCCTCAAGGGGCACGGGCACACTGCGGTCAATGATTATGACTCAGATCTTTCCCGACAGAGGATTTCCGAGCTGAATACGATATCTCGGATCGCGGACTCCCGTCTGGCGTACATATTACTCTCTTTGAAGAGCTCGGTTTCACCTTCATTTTTTGCTCGAATAAGTATCACAGACATCGATCCGTATGATGATTGATGATTGTATTATCAGAGATTCGTTCTTGGGCGAAGGAGATTCATCCCTTACGTATAGATCGTTGTGCTTTTCTCTTTTTCCCGCTTCGAGGTCCGGAATCTCCCCGGATGAAAAAGATCACATTCAAGGCCGGAATTCTGAGTCGGGGGGGTCCTGCATTGAAGCGACAATGTTCAGTCTGCAATGAGTTTTGCCTGAGCATACAAGCAGGTCATCGACTCAGTGTAAGACCTCTATCCATCCTCGAAAAATCGCACTTTCCCGTACAGTGTTCAAATCCGTTGGGGGAAAGTACAGTGAAACCTAGACACACAGACCGGATCCCATCCGGAAGATGGTTCGTGGGTCGAAGGACAGGCTCCCTCTGCCGATTTGCGCACCATTTCGAGCGGGGGGCTCGTTCCATGCTATTGGCATGCATTTTTTGCCTAGCATATTCATATCTTCCATCATACTGGAAAACTTTCATTCTCGTTACCCCACGGAACCCTTTGTAAGTCGAATCCACGTTCGCAAACCGAATAATTCCCACCTAGGACGAAACGTTCGTGCGCCGAGTAGTTCGAGTAGTGCCGTCCCTCAACCGGGATTCGACCGTACTCCCGACACATTGTGAACTTCTGGATTCGCTGGATGTTTCTGGGAGCTCGAAGCATGTAGGAAACTCACGGGGCTTCAAGCCACCTATCAATGAGTCATTAGGAGCAGCCAGGAGGATATCTGCCGAGCAGACTAGAACGTTGACATTGAGTTGTGCCTCATAATTCATGCCAAAGGTCATTCAGGCAGACTGTCCTAGGTACCTGCTGAAAATATATGTCGATGCTGACCCAGATTCACGGAGCTTGACAAACAGTTGTTAAGCCTCGGTTTGTTAGAGCGATAATTTCTCCGGGAGCGGGGTCGGCCACAGCGAGCCGGCGTTTGCGATTTTCGGCGCTACGGAGCGATCGGGGGCGAAAAAGAAGAGCCGAATATCACTCTTTCGCTGGCAGAACCCGTAAAGAAGATCGGCTGGAGTTGGATAGTCTCCTCCGGTACCTTAGTCCTGGAGATATCAATCTGATGCTCAAGTCAATTCCACAGACGCCCCTAAAATTGGTGGTGTCGACCGTCTAGGACACCCCGCGGGATTAATCCATGGTCGATGAATACTGCCCCGAAGAGAAACGACAATGAGGCCTGGAATTTGATGTACTGATTCCATTTGGGAGCACTGCTAGGGTTCTTGACTCGAGGGTTTTTCATGTACGCTCCAGCTCCAGCAGTCGTTAGCTTGGGAGTCTATACGGTCGAAATTGCTCCGGAATAAGAAATATTCTCAATCTCTTATGCACGAGGTTTTCAGCGTTGAGTCGTATGGGAGCGGAATTTGTGACGAGACTCTTTTAGAGCGAAAGTCTCTTACACGCGAAGTTCTCAGTGCGAAAGCCTTTGGGCGCAGAAAACGGGAAATCGAAATGAGTCCGGATCGATCGCAGCAAAACAATATGGACGCCATCCCTTCCCATTGGGAAATGAGTCGGAATTTATTTCCAGGACCCGCCACGGCCCACTCCCTACTGGGGAGTGGCGCAACCGTTACAGTACGGTGGGACGGGATCTAGCGCGCCAACATTCAAAGTTCGCGCGGTGCCCTCTCCATCGGCCCAAGATGGCGTCCGCAGCACTTTCCCTCTATGGTTGGCAGTCACAAGAGAATGCTACGACTCGTCATATGTTCCTTGCGGTGAAATAGGCGACAACGTTTTCTCGTGCACCACGAAGGAGCAGGTGTCTTGTGTGCGGGAACGTGTGTGATTACCTCCGGACCGCGGAACTCTGAGGAGACTCCCGAAGTGCTCGTGAAACTCGATCAAATCTGCGGAGTACTTCGTTTGAACGAGGAACACGAGAGCCTGCTGTGAAACGTGGTCGCCCCGAGGCTTCGAAGCAGAAGGTGGCGTTCCATAAGTGCTCCCAAACATCGGTCTCGCCACAACCTGTTCTCAAAACGAGTGATCATTCGCTAGTTTTCGGACTCATTACCACATCTGGAGCCGCAGGTTCGGCGGAACTTGAGATGTAGCCAGTTCAGTTCGTCTTTGTGGAGCTTTCCTCACCGAGTAAGTCATACCCCCACCTACGCCCACGATGGACTTGTACTCGGTTAAGGATTGTACGAAACTGCTCACTGAATACAGCTCTGTCGAGTAGACGAGCAGGACTCTCTCATCATGGGGGATATGAGTGGGAACCCTCCCAGAGACTAAAAGGCCAGTCGGATATCCTTGGCGACCAGGGCAGAGATCCTCTTGGAAAACATTCCGAGCTCGCGCCAAGCAGAGGCTGTTACTCTTACGGAGGCCCCCTGTCAAAAGAGGATGAGCGCTCCGAGCTGTGGCCAGCAGGGATCATTCCGAGAGACGATTGTGCTCGATTCCCCGGTTTGAAGTTTATCGTCCCATCATCGGCGTGTATGACAGCGTTCTTGCTTACGATTCCTCGAGCACGCCGCATTTGCCGACACTTAGCGATGATCAGCAGCTCTTGATTTTCGAAAAGCATCGGATAGACCACGTGAAGCTGAGCGGAAATATCGAACGCACAATGTTTGTTGGGTTCGACGGCTATCCATCGCAGACATGAAGAGCTGTCAATGAATTCCTTTCTGTTTATGAATCAGCTGTGATCGCCCGGATCCTTCAGCGGATCGAGATCGAATTTCCGCGAGCTGAAGGGTGAATTTCTACGGAAGACCCTGACATGATACATTCCTCAAGACGACTCGTATCGGACCCTTATCGCCTGCTCATATCGTCTCCAGCACTCCAGGAAAACATCGGGTTTGGGAAGCGCGACTAGACCTCGCCGCACCGGAGGGCTGCGACCGTTCTGATATTCGAAAGTCGAGCTAGGTTCCCGATGTCTTAGACGTAAGCTGCTCCGCTGTCTTCCCCTCGCTGTAGAATGAGCTTATCCAATCAAGAAAGATAAGATCAAGTCTTCCGACATTCGTTGAACCACCGAGCCGGACCAATTTCTATCGGTGATTGCAGTTGTTTCCATATTACGCAACTCACACAGAATAACTCGATCCATTGACAAGGGAAGCCAACCATGTACGTAGATTTCTATATTCGTACAATAAGTCGTCATCTCCGGATTCAGGATCGTCGTTTGTATGACAGTGATCTCGGTGAATCACAGCTGAACATAGGAATACGCTGCGTGTTCGTGCTCCCAGTACGTCAACTTGATGACGAGGTGTTAGGGCTTACGCGTGACGAGTCTATCGAGCGCGAGTCAGCAAGGAGTTTGAATTCGAATGTGGGTTGCATAACTCCGCGCCGGCGTCACCCGCGGATCCACATGTTCCGCCGGTTGAGTTCAAACTTCGCTTAGAGATTCTTGCGTCGGCACGGCAAATGATCGTCAACCCCGAAAAGTTTGTCCCTGAGCTCGATATGTCCCAGACCTCTCGAGCTGTAGAACTTCGGTAGGGTCCCGAACATTGTCTCGGGTTCGAAGTGGTCGTGGCCGAAAACTCGGTGCTTCGAAGCTTCTCGGTAAGTTTACGCTAGAGATTCGGAAGCAGAATCTGTACGCCGCTGGGATCGCGGTGCCTCTCTGGGGCCTCAGCGGCGCTCTGCTTCAAGTAATCCCTCTGTCGCCTGGATAGAGCAGCGCCTTTCGGCAGCTTACAGTTCTGTTCCTGAGCTGCTAATCGGGGCGAAGGGAAGATAGAGAAGGAAATGTATCGGCTCTTTGGGCTGAGCGAGCGACCGGCCGGTCGGTCGCCACTACCTAGATGACCTCAAGACGTGTTTACAACGCATCCTGTCCTTGCCGAAAGGGAGATCGTCTGAAAGGCCTTTTTATCAGCCTTTATCGCATTTCTGGAAGCGAACGATGTCTAGAACGACTGAGAGCAAAGTCCATGCACGGCATTGTTCCTGCTCACGTAGTTGACTCATCCATTCGCTCACCCCAATATTCCTAGAACGCCTCTCTCGAGTTTTCCCAGAGATTCCGTGCTTTCTCCGCCGTTTGATTTTCCCGACGTCATTCTGCAACGGAGCGGAATATCCCGTATATGTTCCTAATCTTCCGAGCCGTTATCTTCAATATTCTGTCGGGGAAACTCAACAATGTCATCACACGAGGTACGGCGCGTGTATCTCCTGAGTACCGCCAAGGTTGAGAGACGTATTAGACGAGTATTTGTTTTTTGTGTGCCGATAAGAAAAGTACGGAGGATGCGCGAATCTGAGCTGTTAGAGGAAGCTGGAAAGAGTGATTGGAATATTTGGACATACATATATCGTAAGAGCTCGGTCAATGTCATGATGACAATATCGCTCGACGCTGTCACACTCAGTTGTTTCGTCTCCGTTGAAGACTTCCTCAAGCGTCGAAGCGTGCATTGGTGGCAAGTCGTGGCGCGACGAGGAGGAGTCCGTACGACCTTGGACTCTCCAGTCCAAAGCAGCTCGCTTTCGAAATTCCACCTTGTCAACTTGACCTGTATTGCGGTCCTTAAGTTCCGCTCGATCCCGGAGGCTCAAGCGTTTTGAGTGAGCCTTGGCCCACGCGCAAGCTGCTGTCGTCCGGCTTCGCCGCTGAGCGACATTTACCGGGGTGACCACATGCGCAGTTTCATCTGTTCGAAAGGCTGAAACCATCTGAGGGACACTTCCTACCCTGCTCTCGTGCACCTAGTTCTTTCTCGGGACCCGTGTCCCATTTTCTTTCGCTCTCTTTCCAGGCAACGCGTTCGCTATCGATTGCTTGAGACGGATTCACGACCCTCGTAGGATTGACGTGGATCATAAAATCATGAATATCCCGACTTGAAGTCGCCTTGACACGGAGCGCGGTTTCGGAAATGCCGCTGACCCCTGCACATTGGGAATCCATTCCTTTATCGTTCCCCCTAAATTGTTGGGCTCTGTGCTCTCTTTGTCAGTGATACGCATCCTATACGACTCGACGCACGCACTAGGACTCCGATGAAACTCCCATCAATGCGAACATATGCGTGGAATATTTTTTACTCCAAATTCTCAAGCGATGTCGTGGGACGGATTCCGAGGAAGTCCTCAGAATGGACTCCCTTCGAGAGATGCATCGAACGGCTAATGGGCATTCATCGAGGAGTTCTCAGAAGACACTCGATCCTTAGTCCGGAAGCCTAACGGCGATAAAAGACAGCAAGCCGATTCTCTCAACGCGTCTGACTTGCGCAGAATCCTGTGTTTGTATGAAATTCATAGGGCTTTGATTCCTAGAATTAGCTCGTCTCCGAGAGAAAAGATCTTTTATGAAGTGCTCGTCGGATGGTTGCAGACTATTCATACCTTTTACGAAGGGCTCGGAACGCCGGCTCTGATGCTGGCGCATCCAATGATTAGTGCGAAGCTCGCCGTCGGTGACTTCTGTGATTAATCACGTGAAGACGCTCGGTTCGCGGTCAGAATGTAACATTAGTGAAAAGGACGTACGGCGCTATCGATTCGCATGATTGTCGATGGATTTGCCGTTGTTCCGCCGGACGGTTCACAAAACTCACAGCATGTATGTACATATATGTTATGTATATGTGTTTAGGCGGGCGTGTGTTTGCGTGGCGGATATGCCATCTGACTGAAGGCTCTGACTCTGTTAAGAGGATGCAAGATTTGAGCTCATCGTAAATGAGATCCGATAATCCAAATGTCGGCGTCATTCCTTTTCCGACCGCTGGCGCGAGTCTCTGCGGTACCGTACGGAGCTCTCGTGGGATGTCCCTTCCCGACTCATACGCCAAACTGTCAGACATCGAGGCACCGCAGCTAGATTTTTGCACGGCTCTTCTTATTGTTTGCATCGATTCGAAGAACTTGACGTCCCAATATTTGACTCTTCTCCTAATCGGTCAGGAAAGAGCAATTTTCCGCTCGGAGGCGGTTATCAGGTGTCGTGAATGTGGGTGGGGGGAAGAAAGAGGAGGGGCGTGGATACATCTATGATATATCCAGAGCCGTTCTGATCCGCCTGTTAGCCAGCAATGCCCCTAGTGACTCGACGCCGTTTATGATGATCCCGCGCTTATCGTTTTAGTTGATTTGTCGGACGCCACATCCATTTGCGGAGTGTTTGACTTCTCGACCAAGGAGTCTCTCACTCAAAAATCTGTCAAAGCCCCACACATTCAAAAACTAGCGAGATGCTCAGGGAAGATGGCAGAGGGAAAGCAAGGGTAATCAAGATGGCAGCAGCAGCAGCAGCAGGTTTCAAGCATTCGAGACGGAAGCAATTTAAAAACTAATTTTCGAAGTGAAATTCGTGCTTCATGAGCCTACGACCACTTGTTGACGAAAGGGTGATAAAGGATCGGAGTAAAGCCTCTTTGTCTGTCCTTGACCTCCCTCGATTCGCTTAGCTTCAATTGTCTGCCGCGGACGCTTCCGAAGGAGATGAGCTCACATCGAATTATTTTCGCTTTGGTTCAAGCTTCCGATATCGCAGCTCTTTACGCTCCGATCTTGGAGCTCCTCTCTGCACTGAATCCCGCCTATTATCTCCGCCACGAACATCGGGCCGCCGGAAAACACATTGGAGATGGAGCGGTCCATATAGCGGGCTCAGGGTGAACGCGCCATTCTCGGCTCCGGGAACCGCAGCCAAAGCCAGATATGAGAGCGTTGACGCTAATCGAAAACGTTGATCGAAGAATTCGAAGAATCTCGCTGCCAACATGGCACTGTGTTGGACAACACAAGAGGATGACAAGAAGGATGCGGTGACACGTGAGAACCAACTTTATTGAACCTTTCCGGCGTCCGACACTGATCGACCGAACCACGCTTGACTGATAGAATGGAAGTCAGTGAGTGTTTTATTGACCCACAGACTCAATAATAATAATTGATCAACAGAATCTGCTGCTCGGTAAAAAAATTGACGGAACACAAAAAGATGTCGATCAGTCTCACTCTCTGCCGAGCTTCGTACGTAAGTCGAGACAGGAAGCTAGCACTGTAACAGAATTGTACTCTCATTCGAGAAGCCTTTAAGGTTGGGATTCTGTGATTTCGGCAATTCCGAATGGAATGAGCTGACCTTGAGCTTGATCGAGTCCGCCGTCTGCTGTCCTACCGGCTCTCGCATTTCCGCCACCTGTCCCTTTTGCAAATTAGAAGAAATATATGTACACTTATCCGGGCGGATGGGTTCCGCGGATCGTGTGCCGAGCCGACGCTGACGGCCTACCCTGCAACGATAAACTGAGCGTCATTTGATCTTGCATGCGTTTTTGTCCTTCCGCAACCAAGATCCGATGCATATCGGTTTTCAAGTTTCGCCGCTTGCTTTTGACTGCTCAGCGAGCGCGTTTTCGTCGGGCCGACTGACTGAAGCAAGCGCAGAAAAAACCAATAGATCCAAGATCATGGGAGCCGGTTCTCGTTTTTTTCCGGCTGTGACGTTTGTTGTTGTTGTATTTCCTCCTCTATGTCGGCTGTTTACCTCGGAAACATTTCCGAAATTTCTCAATTTCCGTTTTCTGGTCAGAGCATCCAGCGCCTTCTCCTCTGGCGGACTGTCTGGCTGGCTTTCTGTCTATCCATCTGACAGACTGATCAGCTGCTTCATGGCGGACATGTTTGTTGCTCGGACCGCTCATGCTTGCCAGGGCGCTCGCTTACTCTCCGCTCAAATCATGTTCTGTGTCGCGGTGTGCGAGTGAGCGCGTTGCGGCGCCAGAGTGGCGGCCTCTGGTCTTTCCCGGGCAAACAGTGACGTTGCACCACTGGCGAGCCAGCTGGTGGTTCCCTAAGCTAGTCGGCCGGCCAGCCAGTCGGTCAGCTCACTCGCTCACTCGAAGAGAATAGAGCTACAGCGTTGACAACAAGGACGATATTCACAACGAGGGACCTATCCATCGGCGGTCCCGTCGACTTGTCGAGCTGGAGGCCACCGTAGAGACGACTCTCTGACGGCGGCTCTCGAGGAGCTCCGCATTAGACTCCAACCAATCACGGTCGTTATCTGCATAACGGAGCTCCCTTGGAGATTTCGAGCACCTCTCTCCTCCTGTAGTCAAATAGCTGAAATAAGACGCTGCGGCCGCATCCCTATGGAACTGTACACATTTCCATGGCGCCATAGACGCGGTTCCGGAAGTTGAATCATGTTCTCCGAACGTCGAGGATTCCGATCCATTCATTCTGTCGTGGGAGCTTCGGCTTAATTTTTTTTCGTATTCGCCCACCTCGGTACGGGAGGCTCTTGATAAGGGCGCTACGCGTTTGGTGTTTTTCTGCGATTTCCCAATAGTGTCGACTGTTATCTGATACCTCCTTTGAGATTCTTCCGAGATGCTCCATAAGCGATTTTTGGATATCGCACACGACTCAAGGAGCCGTATTTACCCGGTCCAGCTCAACGATAGGGTCTGCTACCGCGAGTCGGAAGGATGATCTTGGTGAAACTTAAACTCTCTTCCTATAAGACCCTTGACCGATCGATTGAAGGATGGCTATGTTTTTTTCGTCGACTGTCTTGTTATCAGTCCACGCTCACGATCTGCGCACGCATTTGCTCATTGTGGAAAAAAATCCTGTTGTTTCCGATGAATCGATCGCTGGTGGTCGGGCTTCCTCTTGCTTCATTCCGAAGTAAACTGATTGGACCTTGGAAAACGCAGCTGTTTCCCTCAGGAAGTCCTACCTGAAGAGATCTCTCTCTTTGAAATCGAAATCCTGAATTATTCGTGGATTTCATGTGGAGCACCACGCTGGAGTCGGCTTATGCCGAAGTTCCAGCGACTCCGTTCCCCTTCTCGGTACTTGAAGGAGTGATAATCTCAGTCGAATGAAGTTTCTTATATTCCAATCTGGTGAACTCCGACGTTCCACCGTCTGGGACGAAGTTGACTTCTTCAGAGGATACTCCTCCAGTCACCTCTTTCCGTTGTCCCGCTCGCCTCAGAGTACGTTCAATATGGCTCGAACCGAAGAGAAAAGCTCGACTGCGGAACGCCGATTGACGATCAGAGCAGCGATCGCGGAAACGCGAAGATCACAACAGGAAGACCTCAACGCGGTCTTCTGAGCGAAATGGAATAAAGTCTTGGCCGGAAAACGAGACTTCTGACGTTTCTAGCTGACGCGGCTCGTTATTATTGTTGTCGCTGGTGGTGTGAAACAGGGTCGTTGCCCGGCGGGCCGACGACGGGCTGTTCTTCGCCGCTTGTTGTTGTGTTGCTCTAACTGGCGGGCTGAGTGGCTAGCTGGACGGAGGCAAGGAGGGAGGGAGGAATGGTCGGCTGGCCAGTCGCATGGTCCGCCGGCAAGCTAGTCGGTACCACAGCCGCTGTGTCCATTTCTGAGGCCGGCGGCGGTGGACCACACGTATACACACACGTGACTGTAAGGGGCTTCGACAACTGCGCAGAAGCCGTTGCCACTAGAATGCTAGAAGAAAGCGAGCGAGCGGCAGACCTAAATCTCTTCGTCGAGCGCGCGCGCACGCCCCGCTGCGCACGCACACACACACAACTTCGGCCGACAGAGACACTTGCAAGACACGAATTGTCGTCTGTCCGACTAGCCTCGAGTAGCAGCGTCGACGAACTACGCGCGACCAGCCAGCTCGCTCGCGGTCTAGACATTCGACGAACGTCCCACAGCTGCGCTTCGGTAACAACACCGGGTCAATAATATTCAAGCCGAAGCTATTCTCACACCCATAGGAATACTCGCTCCTACTCTGTTGTCAAGGGTTAGTTGGGAACTGGAGGTTCCAAACGACATCCGAGTCCCCATGATGTTTGCATACTGCCGCGGGGATTCGGTTGTTTTCAGCAGGAGCGGCTTGCAGAAGATCGACTGTCATTGACCTTCTGCGCCTGCACTCAGAGCGCTCAATCCAGAGGTTTGAGCGGGGACGTCAATCATCGTCGCCGGGCTTCGGAAGCGCTCGACCCCCTCCCTCTGATCCCAGCTCACGGTGCTCTGAGATCGGCAGGGATGGGCTGGAGAAAATTTTGATTTGTTTTCCGCGTTCGCCGGCTTCGAGGAGCTCGGGGAGGCATCGCTTAGAGTAGGGATTGACCGGCAGTGTGCTGGCGTAATGATATGTCGCTTGGGCTTACGCTTCGACTGCCGGTCGACGGAAAAGAGCAAACGAGACCCGAGCCATTATGGTGCGAAAAGTCAAAAATAGCTCCTAAACGGCGGCGGTGCTATTCCGGTGAAATCTTCTAATCGCTGCGCTGACATCTTTTCACTTGGCGCCGTTTCACTCCGACCGCGTAGACGTAGACCCCGAAAGCGTCGACCGATACGACTCTGGTCATGAGAGAGTCTTGACCCGAGTCCCCTGTCGTATTCCGCGTACATAGTGCGAACGCTTATCGCGACGTACTTACTCCACTGGTTCGCCGCGAATTTCGAAATTCTGCCCGAATTCGACGACACTGCTTATTTTCGCCGAAATCACCGATTCTACCTTGCCGATTTCTCGAGTATGTCATTCCAGGCGGGGATTGTGGTCTTCGAACAGGAAATCCGGGAGAACTGACATCTTTGTTCGGCGCCGAATTCTCAAGTCTCTTCTGGTCGGAACCACGAGCGGAGGCGCCGTGCCGCTGCTTCGTCGTCGTTACCACTTCAGATATGCGTGAACGATGCAATGCAGTTTTTGATCAGTCGAACAAAGACCGCTTCCCTAAACGGAGATTCGCCGTATTCGGCCAGGCTGGGAGAAGAAGTAGCTTTGCACTCACGTCGCGTTCGGGATGAGGCCAGGTCGTCGATAATGATTGAGACGGGAGTCATCAGTTTTTTTTACCATTCGGCATCATAATTCGCGACACGAACACCAACTCAGGGAGCCCGCGAAGCAGGGAGCGACAGCGGAATGACGTCCGCAGTTCACAAATCGGGTCTAGATGCTAACGGATGGTCTTCTTCTCATTCACAGAATCAGCTCCAAAAGATCAGAGGCCAAGCTCATCCCTTGTGATCTGGTGCCATCGGAAATATTCCGCATCGAGTTGTGACATAATCAAGAGAGGACATTCCTTCGAAGAACTCCAAGATGCCCATAGGTGGCGTCGTGAAACTCGCGGAGAAGGACCGGAAGGAGTTGGATCGTTTCGTCAAGAATTTTGTTTCGAAGTGCGTTCAAGTTATTCTGCAGAGTCGTTATGACGAGCCGGAGAGGACACCATGTAAAACGAGAGGATCTCCGTCCGACTGGGTGAGTAGCGAAACACTACCTCTGGAGCACGATGTGTTTACCCGTGATCGGCAGTCGAGTCTGGCCTCAGAGCATTCGCAAAACTTGATTTCTCGGAATACCAGGGCCATCCGGGGGTACTTTCGACGGACAAAGTCTGAGATTATATTCCAAATAGATATTATTATCCTTCACCATGAGATATCTCGGTGCTGCGGAATGAGCATTCGAAGGCGCGAGTTGTCGACTCGAGCATAGTTCGAACTGGATTTTTTTCCATTGCAGTTTCACTTGAACATACAGGACGTCGCGGAATTCAGCGAACAGTTGAAAACCGCCTTGAATCCGCTACCACAGAAAACACTCAGCCTCGGAACGTCGATATGTATCGACTTGAGTCTGTATACGAAAGACAAGGAAAAATTCGTGCTGGAAACTTGGGAATTATGTGAGTACCCATAAAAGTTTTTCGGTATTTTCTTCTCGAAATCCTTTCCTTGAGAAATGAAGCGCTTCCGAAACTTGTATCACAAAAGCACGGAACCTTCACCGACGCTTCCTTGAGTCAAGGCTTCTCCTGAAATCGAATCATTGTTGATTTTTTCGGGAAGTTTCAATCATCCTGTCGAGTTTTTGCTCTGCAGCTTGTACTTCCTTGTTGCACACCAAGTTTCGACCACATATCGCTCGAGCTCTGGGGACAAATCTTCGTGGGATGAATTTTCGCCGATGTTGCTACTTTTGTCTGGGTGAATCGATGCTTTTCCGGCTCGCGGTCGGGACACCAAGCTCCGTTCAGACCGAAGCGAGTCCGTTGTGAGCTGTACTGAGAGCGTTTCTGACTCAAAATAAGCATGACAACCGGTGATTTCTCTTTTTCGGGTCTTTTAATATCCCGACGCTGTTGAATTCGTGACTTTGACATTGCTCCGTGCGTGGAATAAGAAAGAAGAAATTGTGAAACATTCACAAAAATTCGGTGTCCGCCGTCGGCGTCGACATTTTGATCCCGTTCGCCGGTGGCTCCTCGAGATCCTTGTGAGCTTCGATCAAGCGCTGCAATAGACGAGAGTGCTTCGGAAATCAGTCGAAAGACCTGAGTATATTTTCGCGGCGGGCAATCTACTCCGCTTGAATGAGGGAACAGTTTACCTGGCGAACCGTTTTGGCCGACCTTGTGTTCTGACTGAAGCCACGGCTCTCACAGAATCGTTAAGCCGGAATGAGGGAAAGCGCAAGTCGGAGGCATCTGCGAAGAATGTCGCGTAGTGTTGACCCGCGGGTCCCTTCAAGACGAATCTGTCTCGTTTGTCAATAAGGGAACCAGAACCTCAATCCTTGGCAGAAGAAGCTTTCTCAAAACGGTCATGGCACATTTGGTCGCATTATCAGTGGAGATGCATCCGCGAAGCTTCGGTACCCGCATAACCAATTCGCAATGCGCTTTTCTCGATTCATGCTTCCTCTTCATTTTTTACATTATAGAAGGTCATCCTTGAAATGATAGTGCTTCCCCACGTTTCCTGGCTGGATCGATGATCTCATAAGACCGAAAGAACGGAGCATGAGTGATGCATACATTTATTCACATTGCAGCTCTCATGCCAGACACAGACGCGTCAGCGAAGAGCACCTACGAAGTCTATTGCCGAATGGCGGTCTTGCTGAAGAGCTTGATCGCAGTGAGTAGAGTTGTACCTGCCTACCGCTTGGCGTTGTCTCAAAACGAGGACTTCTACCGGCTACATTACCAAATCTACATCGGACCGGGAAATGTAAGTACGGAAATTCGGAGAGGAATCCGAGGGAGTGGCTATCTAACAGCATAGCGCTTCGGTCAAAGCCTAGGAAGGTAGATTAGACATTTTGAAGAGCAAGCAGAAAATGCAGGGGTCGGTGCCATGAGCCTTATCTCTTCTCCTTCCCTTCCAGGATGATGTTTGCGGTGAGAACTCGAAGCTGCTCAACATCGGAAACGTGGGCATGCTCCACGGAACAGTGAACTTGTCAGTGCGGTGAGTTGACCTACCGTTACGAGTCACGTGTGCAATTCGAGCTCTGACCGATCTCGGACGGCAAATCTTCACGAAAATCATTGTGACCTCCTTGAATCCCTCGATTGACCCCGGGGATGACTCAACTTGGAATCACTTCTCAATTCCAGATATCGGACGAAGTTGTTGATGACGAATAAGGAAAAACAAAAGAAGGAGCGGAATTTGGTGCTGAAATCGAACTATTTCGGGAAAACCGATTCTGAGGTCAACAAAGAGGGCCCGCGGGACATCCACGGCAATGAGTTCACGTTAGACTATCCGATCAGGTGAGCCGCCTGCGCAGCTGGCGCAGATGGGAAAGCTTTAGGTGTTCTTATCTTATGATTCCACAGTCCTAAACATGTCCCGATTCCATTGGCTGTCGGTGATCTCTAACATATACTTTCCCTCTTCTCAGCACGCAGAAAAACCGTCAGAATAAGGCGCTCAATGCCGCTTCCCCCTACGGAGCTTTCGCTTCACACGTGCCCCCCAAGCCCGAAGCAGTTCCTGAAGATCTTTGTGATATGTTCTGCACGTTGCTCCTCGAACCGGACGAGACAATACCTGTTGACGTAAGTGGGGAGTGATCTCGGAGAGCTGCTCGAAAGGCTCAGATTGAACCTATGCTGTATGCGGAGGGAACCGAATTACACTTTCCATTGAAGAATTTGATACTCTTCTCATAGGTGCCGCCGGAGTCTGAAGAATCGGACAAAGAAGACGATAAATACGACCTTTGGGACAACACAAGGTCTGGGGAGGAGGAGACCAACAACCCATTCGAGCAATTCGTTTACGTCGATCTGGTACGTGAGTGAATGCTGATCCTGGTTTTCTTGCTCTGCCGGATGTCGGATCATACTCCAAACATTTTACCCCAAGTCAATGGCAGTATGGCTTTCGAGATAGCTTCGATTCGTTCTGCACCCTCAGCATTGCCCCGTGTCGATTGTGGGCTCACACCGAAAAACTCTCTATAGGCCGTATCTCATGAGTTTTTTTCCCCAGAAACCCGCTTTCGCTGAACACTCGTCGGATATCGGCATGTTCTTCATGCACGCACCGCCGACACTGAAGTCTTTGCAGGAGACCACCGGCGCTGCTTCCAACGGAACGAATGAAGAACACCAAAACGGTGACTCATCAGAAACTCTTGTCAAGCAGGTGGAACAGATGAACGCCGAGATAAAATTCCAAGAGCTTGATCAGTTCATCCAGGAGGTTTGCGGAACTGAAAGTTGAAGGGAACGTCCCTTTGGAGGGGACGCGGTATCAATCAGGTGTTGGGGATGTTGAGGGGAGGGGAAGATTTTAGATCGAAAGATCGAATCTGAACGGCACAATTCCAAGCCAATTCGAGGGCGCGAGTGAGTTTGCTCATCGAGTCCAGAGACTGTGTGGCTGCGAAGGCCGAAGGCCTGCTGCGAGTGTTGGAGGGGTATCGACATAGACAGCTAGTGAATGAGCGCATGGGTGCGTGACCGAGGGAGCGGATCCTCTCTCGACGTTGAGTTCGCTCGAATATCGGAAGGGTAAACGGCGGTGTTTATTCGATCTCTCGATAGTCTGACTTGATCCTCTGCCGATTATAGTGCTGGAGAGAGAATGAGGCCAGTGACGCAGAACACCGTAGAGTGGGAAAAAAATTGACTTCCGGAGGTCCTCCGCATTCGATTTTTCGAAGCTTCTCCCCCGGCATTCTGTCGAGACTTCACTCAATATCGATCTTGCTTATTCGGCATCCCGATTCGACCGACACAGCGGTTCTGTGATTCTCAAATGTGGTACGGAGGAGTACATGCGATTCCCTCATATGGCGAATGTCGAAAAATCAATGATCAACGGTCTCCTTTCCGTGGCAAGTGATGCAGAGATTCATCAGAGTGCCTCCGAGGTTGTCTTTAAATTTGATAGAGCCACGAAAGCTGTTTAGGGGGTTCTTCCTCGAGGAGATGTCCAGTCTCGCACTGAACGCTCTTCGAGACAGTAAATTTGTTCCGCCAGACGATCTTTTCTGTCTCAAGAGAGTGATTGACCCTATCCAAGCTACCTCTAGCCCTCTTTGTCCTTCGTGGTTTCTTTCCGTGACGCTCCTGGGACCTGGAGACTGCTCGCTGACTTTCGAAGGCGTGAAATCAACACAGTCACGAAGGACAATGAGAGACACCGCCGAAAGTTCGGAATGAGCTCATCGAGTCGATTCGTTGGGTACTTTCCGCATGGGGCCGGAGGCACAACGCACAGTTGTATCATACATAGCGCAGGCAGAAATGCGGAGATTATATTTGTCATACGATCCTCTTGAAAGAAGCTGTTCGAATCTGTCAGAACGTGGAAAAAGGGAAATTCTGTTTCTGGGCCTCTATTCTCATGGCATAGATTGGACGTGCCGCGTGCGGCGATGGGAGTGATGATTATGACGTTGATCTTGACGATATGGTGATGATGAGAAATGATCTAGTTTTAATGAGTAGAGTGCTAAATTCTGTTATCGATCGCGACAAGCTGCGGGGGTGAGGTTCAGAAAATTTTGCGATTATCAGGATGCGTGCAAAATGTGGTTCAGTGCAAGTGCTGGTCGATGATCTAATGTCAGGACCTCTGGATGAAAACCTCGATTCTTCCATAATTTTAGTTTCTCTGTTGAAGTTTCATCGATGGCGGCGAGCTCCGAAGACTCCGTTCCGGGTTTTACGGAAATCTAGTCTGTTTCTCAAGTTTTTCTGCTAGGGTCCAGGGACGTTATCCCCAGTTTCCAAGTGTGCAACCGTCACCCGACATAGGATTTGGCCGCTCCCTCGGATGACGTCGTTGGATACCTATGCGGACCTGCTACGAAATCCCGAATGTGATGACTCTCCGTTTCCACCCCAGGGCTATAAAGATCGACCCCAGGTCTATAAAAATTCGAATTTTTCGATTTTTCATCGACAAATCGACCTGCTCTGGGAATTCGCGATGAGTCAAGATACGTGTAGAAAGTGCGGAAAACATTAGATATCGATGGCAGCGATCCTCAAGTCCCCGAAGATATCCAAGACATTCCGATGTTTTCTACAGCGTTCTTTTTCCCGCGGGTATTGCCCATTTTCGGAGCGACATTCCCGAGTGTTTAATCCGCCGACGTAATCGAATGAAATTCTTCGCCGTCATCGATGTTATCACACCACATGTGAATGTTTGCTATGCTCAAAAAGTTAAGAGGGAGTGAAATTCAATTTTCGTTGAGAGGGTCGATTCTCGACTCGAGAAAGTCGGAGAATCGAAGGACGGAATCGGGTCGACCCCATGTTAATCGAGCGTACACTGCTCCGAAAAAAGATCCTCGAGAGGGAAAGTGCGACGAGGAGGTCAGAGAAGCGGTTCAAGTTTCACGTGGGATGAGAATGTTCAGAAGGGGCTTCCGAGCCAAGAACGAGAGTACAATAAACTTTATTCCCGATTGAAATGGTTCAACTCATTGACCCTCTATGCTCTATGCTCTAGACATGCGCTACGTCCAGGCAGTGCTCTCTTCCGTCAGATACCTGGATCTTCCAATGAAGCTGATCTCCTGGCCGGGTGCAACGTCTCCATGACTTGCCATTCGGAATCCGCGGGTAATGTTCAACCTCGACTCACAAGGAGCATGGTTTCGAGTATGTATAGATGTATATTCTGCAAACTTCAGCGATTCAATGATTGGTAAAATTACGAAGAAAAGAGCTCCTCGAAGCCGCTGCCAGCCGGTGGGGCGAAAATGTCCAGGATCAAATCTCTAAGATTTTCTTCCGAGCTGGGAGATTCGCCAAGCATTCTCCGCAGAATCGTGGATTCAGCAAGTACTGCACCAGCTTGGATACCAGGGGCCTTCTCTTCGATATCTTTCCGAGGACGACGACTATGAGGGCTTCCAACAGCTAGGTTTCGTGGCCGTTCAACTTGTCAATTAAGATCATTGGTGAGCGATCTGCATTAGCGAGCGCTGCCCCCGATGTAGAAGCGGACGATCGACGTTTTGAGAGGCTTCAGAACGGCAAGGATATTTTGGAGCCCCACCCGCGCTGCTCTCTTAAGTGGCGGCTCAATGAGGTCTTCCAGGAGCGTATTTGGTGGACTTGCGTCATGACTGGAGCTCTTTGGAGCATTCGGATTGTACAGGACCAACGGATCTTATTGTCGAGCACTCGTCGGTGTCGTCATTACCGGTTCTGCCCTCTGGGACAACAACTTTCGGGCTTTCCTTCCGCGCCCGAGACGTCGTTGTGGAGGACTCTCGGGAGTGCTTTGTGGGTTCTGGAGCCCGTGAGCTAGGCAGAGCTGGGAGCGAAGTCCCAGCTTGGCCACCGCGCTCTTCATCACTTTAACTCCATCGGTGGTAGCGGAGGAAAAGTTGATCGACTTCACCTAGAAGAGATGTGGACGCTCCCTGATAGATTCATAGGTTTCCTTTTCCAGAGAGATTCGTCAGCGTTAATCGAACGAAGCATCATCGAATGTTAGCGATGATCGATGGTCACTACCCCATAGCAGTCGGCGATGCGTCCGGTGAACGAAATAGGCCAACGAGCTGTCAATAATTCGGACCTTTGGGTTCCCCCAGCGGGAGGTTGATTCGTCTGATCATCCGCTCCTGCTTTGAACCCTTGATCCGCGGAGTCGCCATCGCGCGGCTTTCGAGCCCGACATGCCCAACGAACTCTTCGTTGGAGCGTGGAACTCCGACGCTTCCTCACGAAGCTCTGCTTGTACGGAATCTGGCTTTTCTTGACCTGTGGAAATCACTTCTTCCGAGTTCGGTTCTCATTCCCCATCGCCTGGCAGTTCGCCCCGGATCTGCGATCGGGCGATCTCCTTGCCGCGGCGAGACATCGGCAGAACCTGCTCGTATCGGAATCCGTCCGTCGCACAACTGAAGTCGGTATCCACACGGCATCCTATATGGAAGGTTTCCGGGCTGTACCTGACCGTCTCGAGAGCCCGGGGTATCCCGCTGCCTGTCATGCGAACGACCTCTGCTCGTCAAGTCCCGCTACAGACCGACTGCCTATCCATATGGGTGCATCTGTAAAGCTACAGCGGTCTCGACGCTGACGTACGCCAAATGTATGCGGTACCAGCCTCGAGGAACCAAAGAGCGCTGAATGCTCACTTCGAAAAGACGCGGATGTCTGCGGGTCGATGGGCTCTTGGCATTACTAGATACAAGGTAGCCAACGAGTTCATCCAAGGAGAAATAGGCCGGTCATTATTCGAGGCAGGAGAAGCTCAGAGCAGGATCCGATATTTCACTAGGATAGCTTCAATGGAGGCACATATAAAGACGGAAGAGAGCGATCCTGTCAATCGTGAATCATGACACTGACCGACGCGTACACTGAAGCAGTAATACCTTTATGGGGAAATACCCGTGGTATGCACTAACGAAGGACGTCCACTTCTAAGTAAATTTTTCAAGGAAGTGAAACTGACAGTCCGGGAAAGGCAGGACAAGGTATGGAGAGAAGGGATGTCCCGGAGACCAAGCCTGAAGATATACAATATGTATAAAGAGAGACGAGGACTGACCGCGGTCGGCACGTATAACAATAGAAGAGGTAGTACCCTACTCGTACTAGCGAAAGCAGGGATGCTACCGACTCGAAAATACCGCAGTAAGTTCCAAAACATCTACCCATACTCCTGTTTGTAAGGGATGGAGGAGGAAACAATCCAGCTCGTGCTATTAGAATGCACCCCACATCACTTCAATGAAGAGGAGCTCCGTAAGAAATCGGGACTCCAGGAGCTTCTGGACCGTGGAGTGCTGCGAAATACCAAGGAACTACTAGAGCGATGGGAGAAGGAGACCCGACCGATCTGCTGAGAAATCGCCCCTGAGATGAAAGGGATATGGTCCTGTGATATAGTATCGCAGAAACATGAGGATCAATAAAATCATGAACCATGAGGTCTATATAAGAGAGCTCTGCTCTTTTCCGCCTGTCCTCCTTTTCATTGAGAGCTGGGAGCTGAGGAAATCCCGAAGACCCAATATCACCACCATGAGTATGCCGCGCCGTCTCGGAATACGACGTTTAGTTCCGCCCGTTTCATCAGCCAGATCCTGGGGGGCAGAAGGGCATGACGATTCGTTCTCCGCATAGAAATAGCGAGGCACCGTTCGGTTGCAAACGACGCGTCTTGAATCGAGTGCCATTTCCAGAATACTCTCCCGAATGGCCCCCAGAGCTAATTTACGCGAAATTCTATTCTATTGATTTATTCTGTGCTTTCCTTGCCTCATGGAAGGAACGAAACGAGACCTTACTTATAGAGCTCATCGAAATGATTCGATGTGGTGATCTGCTGGCGGTACAGGTCTTTCGGGCGAAAAGTCAGAAGAGCGCGAGCTCCAATTGGGCGCAATGCCATCTGGGCGAGATGCCGTTTGGGCGAAAACCAATATGAGCGGATCTAATTTAGGCGAAATAACTTTTGGGCGCAGAACTGGTAGGATCTCTCATCTAAGGGAACTGATAACTCATGAGGAATCGACGGGAAACAGGACCTGGAGATCGCGAGAATGAAAAAACACCTTGTGAATGCGCTCCTTGGCGCAGCTTTCGAGAGTTTATTCTTGAGTTATCATTTCTCGCTTTATTCGCCATGGCGACATATACCTATCACACTATTGGCTTACGGCGGACTGATAGTTATTCTCGTCAACTTTTATTTACACATCATGTACGAAGACGAGCAGAAACTGACGAACCACAAGTCACGAGTCACGACTCACGACTCCATGAAGAAGTTGTGCGCGATACCCCGTCGATGCTACACGTGAGTCCTGTTCGAAAAGTCCCGCACAATCTCGAAAATCCACTTGTTGGCCTCCAAATTTTCGACGAGTAGGATCGACAAAGATGCCGGGAGACAATCTTCGTCGAGCAGCCGAAGCTCTGGCGGAGTCAATCTCTGCTTCTTCCGTACTAAAACACGAGTTCTCTCCGATGATCTTCGCGCCCAAATCCCGTTTCGCCCAAATGGCATTGCGCTCAAACTGCTTTGCGCTCAAATGGCACCGCGCCCAATCGGAGCCTGCGCCCAAATAGCTCAGCGCCCTAATGGCATTGCGCTCGAATGGCACCGCGCCCAATTGGCTTGGGCCCTTCTGACCAAATGACCGCGGCCGCTCCCCAGAGGTCATGATTGAATGCTACGAGGATATCACCGAGGATTCTATTCCGCCTCCAAACGTCAGCCTGTATCTCCTCGATATTGCCTAGGAACAGAGCTCACGAAGCCCTGTTCATCTATTTGAGACTCGGCCCGAAAACCCGGATATAGGGTTCACTGCGGATGTCTCCGCAGGAGCCGTGACGGGCAAGAAAGGGTGGATGTCTCTTCGAGAATCACAGAGGAGAATCCCATGTCCGCTTCACGATTGAGTTCCTCGACAGAACATCGGCCCGCGTTGCAAGTTACAATACTGCGAGTTGAGGAGAAGAGATCCTTTGCACCTATTGTGCCTCGAAATTGCGCATTCGAGCTTTTTTGGACTCATAAACTCTGGTGACAGTTCTTCCTCTGGTATGAACTGCCCGTGAGAAACGTTGCCGCGAATGACAGAAGGTGCCGAATGTCTCGGTGTGTGTTCTAATGGGTATCGCGATCCTTTTTTCAAGCAGCCCATTCTGCTCGATCGAGCTCCTCGGCGGAAATGAGCGTCATTCTCGGATCAGTTTAGGGTTGTGTATTCGGGGATTCTCAAGATTCCAGGGCCGACCGATGGGTACAACAACGCCTAGGTCCGAGAACTTCGCTCCGTAAGTACGAAGTAGTTCTACGTCAATATGAGAGCTCTGGCAGTGTGGGCTATGAAAAATCTCTGACCCTCTGTTAAGAAAAGTATACCTTGCACATGGGCGATTTGAGAGATTCGAGGCGACTCGTATTCCATATGGACGCTCCCTGAAGACGCGACGCCCCGTGAAGACGCTCATCATAAGATAAGCAGAAACAATCCGATGAGGTCTTCAGGCTCCTCCGCCAAATCAAGGAATGTCACATCTACGATTGCACGGCAAAATTTAATATACATTTCAGGGATCTAATTTACAATGCTTTCAACAGTCTCGACGTACGAGAGACGTAGTCAACAGGAACGAAGATGACGGACCCGGATATAACTCATCAAAATACTGATTTGCGTGGAGTCCCGAACGGTATTCCTTCCCGAGAGCACTGTCTCGGCCTCCGAGAGCTCAACCGCAATCTTCGAATTGGTCCAACGCGGATGGAAGACCGCCAGTCGTAACAAGGCACATTTCAAAGGTAAGGAGTTTCACAAGCTTGAGGCGACTTGACTAGCTCCATGAGTTCACGAGCTGCCATTCGAGAGCTTTGTTCTTCGCGGATTCTTTCGGATGGTTCATTAACAGTATGAGCACGCCCTCAATCGACGATGATTGGAAGACTTGCGCTGGAGTGGTTCGATTCAAATCCCTGAGGAGATTCACCAGACGAGAACGCAGTTTCAACGGAGGAAGATTCCCATTCGGTAACGGAGAGAGCCACTCTGCCATGGCATTCAGGATGCTCCGATTCAATGGTTCCTTGGAGAAATCGTTCCTGCGGAGATACTGCGAGAGATTCTCAAGGAAGAAGAGCTTGTCTCTCATTGCGGTGCCGCTGTTCAGGGACCCTGAACGAGCTTGTGACATGACATTCCGCATTTTCGTGAGAATTATCATCGACTCGGTGATTTTGCGTTCATTGAGGAGATGTTTTTGGCGCTGCGACCGCTCTTCGGCCGTCTCGGGAATCCTCGATCCCGCGGAGATGCCTGATGATGTATCAGTGGAATTGTTCGAGCTGCTGCTATTCTTGCGTCGCCGTCTGGCAGGCTTCCTTATACCCCGTTGTTTGTTCCCTCGATCACAGACCATCTTCTTCGGTAGTCTCACAATCAACTTCGGTACCGGTGCGTTTCCGGATGGGGAAGTGGTCCGCGGAGAGGACTCAAGACGGGTTCCCAACGATTCCTCCGGAGTAAGCGTTGGATGTTCGTGGTTCGGCTTCGAGTAGGAATGATCCGACTCCAAACGGCCCCGTGGCTCTCCATTGTCTCCACTATTGTGCACATCGAGCTCCCTGAGGATACCAGTCGTGAAGTTCTTATGGTTGACCCCTTCCAAGGTTCGTTCTACCTCGTGGGCTCTTTCTTCGTCGGAATCATCGAAAGGTGAGGAGTAGGGATCGAACTCGAAATAGAATTGTGAGCCGTCTTCCGGATCGCGGAGATCTTCGCAAGCAGTGGTAGGAGTTGATGCGTTCTCTTTCCTACCCAGCAGATCCCTCCTTTCCGGAGACTTCGTCTTTCTCGACTTCTTCGTGGTAGTCTCAGGAAGCGAGTTGGAGCCATGTCCCGCAGCGCGGTCATCTGCAATCATGAAAGTTTCCCCCGGTAATCGCGGAGCCTGCTCAGCTTCCTAAGCCCCCTTAGGCCCCGGAGAGCCATGACATGAGCGTTAGACGGGCGAGCTAATTGTAAGCTTCTCCTAAATCCTCCCGTAGGTGCCAACCGTTGGGGGCACCCGATTTCCAGGGACTCTCTCCTCATTCCCCCCTCGACGAGATGAGAATCCTTACCCGCTGTAGGTCTCGAGTCCTTATCGGTCGACAATGGAGTCTCGCTCTCGATCTCTTCCTTGATTTTCTTCAATGGGATGAAGGGTTCAAAAGCAGCGTTCTCGGGGACGAGAGGGTTCGATGTACAAGAAAAATCAGTCTGCGAATCTCCCGACTTGCTATCCGGTGTATAAAGAGCAGGATTCACAGCCCCGCTCAGCGGGAGATCCGAGCGTCGTCTCACTGGGTTGAATATGTACAACGGAGGCTGGTTTCCCCCGGAAACATCGGCGGAACCGATGGGGATGCGCTCCTCGAGAGGAGCGTAAATATAGGAGGATTCGTCAGCCAAGGAACGCACGGAGAGAATTCGCATCGGCGGCGATTCCGGTCTATCGTCTCTCGCCGGCGCATCTGCAGCTGCCAGCATACTGTCCCCTGCAGTCCCGGAGCAAATATCGGCCATCGACGGCTCGATTGGAGATGGCACCACTACATTGGGAGCCGTCGAATTCTCACTATTTTCTTGTGCATGCTTTGCGACCTGTCCGACTCGTTGGTGTGTTGCCTCGCTCTTTTTTCTTTTTCTGCATTCGAGCGGGATCGCAAGCGTAGTCTTTCTGAGACCGGGTACTTCCGCCGACTGCCCATCTAGAAGTTTGATTTCGACCGCTCGTTTGCCTTTCACCTCCGGATCCCGCGAATTCCAGGAGAGCACAGGGAGACTCAGAGGTGCGCGTCGCGATAGAGGTATCCGAGGACAATGCCCGGTTGTGTCCCTCTGAAAGAGAAAGAGAATCGATGAAGTGAACGATAGAGTGCATGAGGCGTCGGGATTGCATATAAGCAGAATGTCGAGCACTGATGATTTCAGAGTCGAGTCGAGAGCTCCGATAGATACCTCCGGGTCGAGGAGCAGGCCTGATTCGTTACAGTAGTCGATGTCGGCTGTCTCTTTTTTCTCGCGACGACGTCCACGTTTGCTGAAGTCCGGTACCGATAATCGCCACGGTCTCCCAGTCTTCTTTCCGCCTCCAGCTGCACCCGAAATGTTCTTCTTCATCGTTTTTCAATCGCGTTCCATCTGAGAGCGAAATTCGGGTCAGATCGATTCGGAAAGCCGTCATAACGATTCTTCCCGCCAATCGGCCTCCTCGCAGAATGGCTCGACCGAAAACATGGCGCACCCCTGCCTCTCAATGCTATCGCACAAGACCGACATTCGAAAACTATCAAGCAAACAAGCTACTCTGAACTTCCATACTGGAAGCTGCAGCAGGCCCAGCGCATTCCGGGTTCGGTTTTTCTACTCCCCGAATATCAGTCGGACATCACACGCGAAATATTCTTCGACTCGCAACGGTTCCATGAAGAGTTTTGAGCGAGCCTACGACTTTTGAACTGAAGGCCATGTCCTACTCTCTTACCGAGGTTCGTCTCTGCATCTCACAGGAATCAAAAGTCTACAAACTCATTTTATGATCGCCGAGTCTGAAATCACTTTGCATCGGATGTTTGGAAGCACAGCACAAGTGTGCGCCAGTCAGCACAGCGTCACATCTGGCGCAGCCGAGTCTCGACTTGAAAATGGACCAGTAGGTGGCGCTGCAGCAGCGACCGAAGGTCGCGAGCACGATCATGAGAATGCATTCATCCGAGCCATGCTGCGTTGGCGATCTGCTGCTAAGCCTAACGTCGACGCTCAACGACATCCTAAGGTATCCTGCTACATGCGCGCACTCTTACGTTACGGTCAAGAGAAAGCAAACAAAATGGCGGCGCAACGATCGACTCCAGCGATGACGCTGCAGTCGATACTGCTGGCGAGCAGCAGTAAGACGCGTATAGGAGAGGGGCACCGAAAGGCGACTTACGGCAAGATGTGCCCATTAGCCTACCTCACAAACCCTCGGTATCTCGAAATATCTATGCAGCTTAGGCCAGAGATCGCGATCGGATTCCGACGTGTTGATACGGTCCCCCGGGCTCCCGTCTTCAATTTCGATTGTCGTTAGACCGCGCCGCGAATACTGCTCGTCTGGCTGGGTTTGGGCACAGATGTGGAAATAACGGTGGCGCCCCGCCGTTCGCGCATCTACTACCACAACGTTGAGCTCCGAAATTCTTCATTCTAGGAATTACCGTTCCAAATACGCTCTCAGTCCCGGACTTTCCCGAGCATGGAGCAGAAGACGCTCTGCTGACTCTACACGCGGTTCTTCACTCGTTGGAAGAAGTTCCTGGAGACGAGGTAAATAGTGATGCGCAAGATTTCAGGCTGCCAAATCTCGATATTATACTTCAACTCCGTCTCAAGCGAATCAATGACCTTCTTGAGTAGGACGGACCCGAGCTATCCCCGACTCTCGGACGATTTAGAGAAAGAGTCTGGACGTGAGTACTCTCGGATAGTGACTGGGCTAAAGAGTTGTCTTCGCAGGCATCTCGACTTCGGGAACTCGTGTTGTAGTCAGCAATACCAATGGCAACGATGACGCATCCAGATTACTCATGAATCGATGAGGACGTGGCTCTTGAGCAAAAGTTGGACTGGAGCCAATAATATTCAGAGTCTGCTCATCGAAGCGTCATCGGGAAGAGGAAGGAGATGGGTGGGGAGCCCCGGAATTCGCAACTCACCGCCTCACCTCTGAGGTGGATGCTGTCATCGCTACCAGAATCACGGAGACCCGCACTTCGGTTCCTGAGTTGGACCGGTAAGTTAAGATAAGTTCATACTAACCAGAGCATGGATCCTTTGGTGATGGAGCGAGTATCTCCTCTGATTCTTTCTAGCCCTTTCTCCCCTCTCGTCTGCCGATTGAGCGGCGGCATCAATGTTCTGAAATCCCTTATTCGTCTCACTCGCTCTCTCATCTCGCGTACCTCTCGCCTCGCTGCCCGCGTCGAGCTCCAACGAATTCCGGATCGCGCCACTCGTTCGACATGTCCGCCAAATTTGGCGGGCATCGAGTTGCAGGGGCACACCGGCACACAGGGGCGATGAGACCGCAGTTTTCTTCGGAGCGTCTTTCCTTCGTGGGCCGAGTATGCGGCTGTGAAAAGATATGAAAAGCGATTTCTATCAATTCCCCCCCCCAGTCGCGATGACGTTCAGGTCCCTAGGACTAGGAAGTGTACTCGAGCGAGGATTATCGATCGATCCGAAAGACGGAATACTATTCTCCACGGCGATGGCATCGGAAACCCTCATCAGCACTGGAGTGTAACTCCGAGGATCACCCGCGAGGTTCCCTAGAGCCGGTAGAGTCGGATAGAGTTCCTAAATCGGAACATCCTGGTCCCGGTCCACGCTTTCCAGAAATCCCCGCTGCGGGACGTCTTCTGGCACCTAGGGGCAGAAGGAGATTGCTCCCAAGAACATGCACTCGCTGACGACGCATTATCGGGTGAATAGTTTTTCGGCGGCACTTTGGGCTTATGGTGAGCCAGAGGCTAGGCGCGGAACTACAGCGCACCGAAAATGGCTACCTATATATGTATATAGTAGTTTAGCTCCTTGGCAGACGAATTCGGTCACCAGGCATCCGGCTGAGGAATGTGGAAAGCAAGCGCGCGATCCTTGTTTGGCCCGGATTCTCAGTCAGACCACAATGATCTCTGTGCTGAGAATCGATTCACCCCCAGCCAAAATGACCATCTGCGGTAATTCTCGGCCTTGACCTGAATCAGTCTCCCGAACTTCGGATTCGGTTGAATCAAATCGTCGATTTGGTGAACCTACTCCCGACTCCGAGCCCCTTTGAAACGACTGTCGAATCTCTACTGATTCGGGGAATGGCAGAAGGTGAATGGCTGTCGACAAGATGAAATAGAATGTTCACTCCTCTGAATGAGGACGGCGCAAGCGGGACGGCCGGAATCGATGCTTGCAACTTCGAGGACCAAATGCAGCATCGGCGCAATCTAATCTCGTCTTCTCTCGACTTGAAGGAATAATCGATGAAGCGATCAGATTTGCATGTTTTGTGCTCTCACGCTCGATGATGCTCGGAAGATCCGGAAGTCGTACAGGGGAATGGTCACCGTTATCCTCAGAACGGAGGGGACCTAGAAAGCGGCGGGGGCTGGACAGGCCATCACCCTCTCATGATTCCCTCAAGTCATACGGAGGCAAGATGACTCTCTTAGATACAGATACGTGCCTCTGCGTCTCAAAAAAAAGTCGGTCCATAGATTCCAAACGGGCGCCATTCCCATTGATTGATTGCGGTTCTCCATCCCGACGATTCTATCTCGAAATTTCCCAGTTCGAACTCGGGATCCCGGAAAAGTTCAGGTCCGAAACTTCCAATCTCGAAAGCCTCGAGGCCGTACGACCCCATCTCGGAACTCCCAAGTCTGGAATCCGGATCTCGAGAGAGTTCAGGTCGAAAACTTCCGATTCCGAAACCCTCCAGCCTGAGGATTTATTTTCTCCTCTCCCAAAATTCCCCTCTCCGAAGCGTTGCGCTCTGCTTCAACCCACGAGATCGAGGTTTCTCACGAGCCTGTGACTATTTTCGAGCAAGCTTCTGCTTCTGGAGGAGAGGATTCGTTCCAATGGAATCGTTCATAGTCTATACATTCCGTTCATCATTATTAGAGACCGTGACTTCATGCAGGATGCATATAATGCATAAAAATGCATATTTCGGGTCTTTTTTGTCGAAAACGCATAATTCGGGCTCCGTGTCATATTTCTGTGCGATTTCCCGTATTTCTGTTGATTCCCGCGGCGCATGAGAGCTTCAAGAGCAAGAGTGGTCGGAGCCCATTTCTGACGCTAATCTCACTTAGTGATTTGCCGCTCACGTCTCTCTGCCAGCGAGACGCCAGCGATTGATTGCCTCCGGACTTAAGTGACGGAAGGATTCCGACAATTAGAGCGGCGCAATTCAGAGCGCGGAAGAAGGAAAATCTCAGCCGACTTCGAGAATCGAATGTCTTAGCTAGAAGCCAAAAACAAAATGCCTAAAGTGGCGCTCACGCTGAGGTGTAAACTGCAGTCGTATGTAAAGGAATTAGGTCCCGATATACTTTCCACGGACGGTTTGGTGATTTTGTGCAAAGTTTG